TGGGCCATCCACTCAGCAAGTGAGAACTTGGTTTTCCGTTAAAAGGAACCAACAAGGGGTGCCCTCCAAACAATCAGCCATGTTCAGGTGAGCAAAAAGCCGGGGCAAAGTGCGGAGCCTTGGCAGTGCCCCAGTTTGTGCAAGGAGGTGTGGCATACATGACTCAGCACTCTCACGTTATGGACCCCAAACAGGGGCGAACTGGGGAGGGGGGGGTGCTAAATGCTTATCCAGGGATACCCCCCCCTTCAATAGCCCATGACTCAGTACTCTCAACATGCCGCCAGATTCGTTGCCAAGGAGTTTCGGCTCCTGCACAGCAAGTTGATGGACCTTTCACTTGCGGAAGTGCGTGAGCTCGCCGCAAGAGCCGGGGTGCATGCACCCACGAAGGCTTCCAAGCAGAGCCTGATCATCAGGCCGACAGAATGAGCTGTGTAGACATTCAGACTGCTCCTGTACCGGTTTGGTTGTCAGTCGTTTCAAATTGTCTGATTTTTTCAGGCTACCCCCAATTGGTTTGGATTTGGATTTGAACCTCGGTGTTTGTAGGGGGTAAATGGGAACCTTTCCCCAACCACCAAACCACCGATCCGGCTCCAAGCCACCAATTCGTGGGAAGCTGGAAACAAACACTAAACAAAGGCGCGCCGATTGGGCGAGAGACTGGGGGCCCAAACAGGTTGATGAGCGAGGAGCACGTGGAGAAGATCCAGGATGTGGTGAGTCCAGAGCAGATGGCACCCCCAGCCATCAGCGGTTCAGCGGCAATTTCTGGTGATTTAATCGGGTGTGGCTCAAAATGAAACGATCGGAGGGACAAACCGCAGGTTTTGGTCCATGTTTCTTTCCACTTGAGCCAGGGCAAGCCATTTTGGAACTCCAGTTTTTTGAGCTTTTGGTACTGGTTTTTTGAGCCAGGGGATTTTTTTTATCGCTTCGCCTTGAAGTCACCAAGGCCCTGGCACCTTGCAGCAGATTCACCTGCATCTGGCGCTCGGGCGGCAGCTGGAAGTCTCAGTCCCCGAGTTCCGTTTGGGACTTCTTTCGCTTTTTGGGTTTGGACCATTTCAACCATTTGGCAAAAGGACCTATAGTCCAAAAAATGTCTTAGTGCGGGTTTTGGGTAAATGGCTGGTGGTTCAAAAATAGGGTAACCCCAAACTAAACACTGATTTAAAAAAAGACTAAAGCCTGCGGTCCCAGGGTGGCCATCCGGTTCATTTTCTTGGCCTCTTCTTGGGCCTGTTTCTTGAGCCAGTTTTCTTGGGCCCGAGTCCTTTTCTGGCAGTCCATTTCAGTGGCAAATGACAAAGATTGACAAAGTTTGGACTTTTCTTGGGCCATCTCGGGAAGTGAGAGTGAGCCAACAGTGCCCCAAGCCCCGCTTACGCTTGCTTGCTTGCGTGCTTGGCATGTGCACGCGTGGAGTTTGCCAGGAGACAAAGGCAGCTGGGACACTTCCACAGGGCGTTGGTCGCAGAAGCCCACAGCAGCACCAGGCGGAAGATATAGAGAAGGCGACTTCCGATTCTCCCTTGCAGAGCCCCAGCTGTGGTTGGATGATTTTGCAGAGTTTCGGACCAGTGTCGAAACAGGGTGTATGAGATTCCTTCATGCTTTCTTGAGCCAGAAAGCCATGGCGCCCTTTACTCAGAAGCCTTTGAAACCATGGGCTTCGCGCCTGCTCTGAGGATTTGCGATGTGCGCGCGCCCCTGCAGAAGCAGGCCAGCCAGTTTAGCACGACAAGTCGCGTGTGAATGCGACTCACGCAGGCGAAGCGGCAGGGCTTGGCCGAGCTCGAAGTTGGCGCCAGGCTGACTGGGAAAGTGGTTGAGGCTACTTGGTCTGGCTTGGTCTGGCTCGCCGCGAAAGTTGCTTTCCTTACTGTCTTGTAGATGCGGGCCTGTCTGTTTTGCAAGGCGACCCCCCAAAATGTTGGTCTTCTTTTAAAGCTCGCTCTGGCTCGAGTGGGTATGGCCGGCCCAGGTTTCGCTGCTTGATGGGCTGCGCGTGGACATTGGTGCAGAGGCTGATGCCCTGGTGCCGGTGCCTATGGAGGCCTGAACTAAGCGGAGGGAGGGAGGGAGGGAGGGAGGGAGGGAAGATCACCGCATTTTCTGCCTTGCAGCACAATGCCAGTTCTGTTGCTTCACTCCTTTCAGGATCTCCTTCACTGTTCTTGGATCATGTTTTGGTCCTGTTCATTTTTAGGCTCGGTTTTTTAGCTGCAAGAAAAACAGAGCCATTCTGCCAGTGCCCATGCCACTAGGGCTGTCACAGAGGGAGCGGTTGCGACAGGACCAGGCGCTTCGCGCCGAAGTCGCAGAGCAGCACCCCTTGGGCTCACAGCTGGAGGTCCAGATCGAGGCACCGAAAATTTGTGGGGGCTGAAGAGGCTATGGTGTCCTTTTTTTGGTTGTTTTGCTAGAGAAATAGATGGCCCTGGTTTACCTGGTGGTTTAATCATCTACCAGGGCCATCTATTTCCCTAAAAGGACACCTATGTGAAGAGGGCGTCAACTCCAGAAACCACAGGTAAATTGATCAACTTCTGAGGGGAAACTCTCGAAGATCGATGGTTTCAATGGACTCCAGTAAATTGATGGGACATGGAAAATCCAGCGACTTCGGTTTCGATCGCCAGGATGTTTCAGAAGATTCGGCACGGCGATTCCCTGTGATATGCAGCCTGCCCAGGCAGGGCAGCCAATAGGCTCCGTGCAGACTGTCCCCCAAAGTTTCTGGCCTGAAAAGCCGGCTTGGTGCAGAAGGCCATGCTTGTGGTTCTGGAACTTCGCAAATGCGACCTTTGCTTGGCTGTGTTTGTTCTTGAGGGTGCCAAACATGTTTTGGGGTAGTTTTGAAGGGAATGAGTTGCCAACCCACTATTTTTGCGGGTCTAAACACAAGATGCGCCCATTTCTTGAACATCGAGGTCAAGCGTGCAGCTCCCGGATTGGAAAGCTGTCGACATGGCACTCAGACCTAGTCGGGATGCCAGCACTCAAGGCACCTCGGCTCAGTTTGCCGAGCGACAACCAGGGACCCTTGAGATTTGGATGCGTCTTTTTTGTTTTAACGCCACCCTTCATAGGGTCGGTAGAAGGGCAAACCACAAGGCAACCCTCGAGGTCCAAGTCCCTATTTCCGACATGCCCGACTTTTGTGCAGCAGCTGATGCGCACCTTCGAGGCCTCAGGGGCCAGGAAGTGGTCGAGCTGGAAGCTGTGGATGACTGGCAGCCAGGCTCTGGCTCGGGCGTTTCATGCGGATGCCAACTCAATATGGCAAGAAAACGGCAATCAGAGGATATATAGGGCTTCCGCTCTGGCGCCCCCTCCGTGGCCGCAGTTGTTTCAGAATGCCGGTGAAAGCACAAAGCCGAGCGTCTATTTAGCACCTGCGCAGGCGAAGTGGAGCTGCAACGCCAGCACGACCGGGACCAGGAGTCGGGAGTGACATGAAAGTTGTGTCGCGCACGCCAGAAGTGCCAGCTGCATACACCGCCTTGGACTTGCAACTAGTGATGCTCGACTGGAAATGGAGGTGGCTCAAAAAGCATGTCTTGGTAAATGGATTCAAAGACTAGAACCTGCCTGCGGTCTTTTTGGTGGTTTGATTATGAGCCACAGCCAAATGTCAAGCGACGGGCCCGGACTCGAGAAGCGTCGCGGGGTAGGAGGTGCCTGACGTGCCCGAGCGGCCACCCCCGCAAGTGGTGATGACCATTGGGCCTCAAGAGCTCCAGGCTGTCCAGGCCAGAGCCCAAGGAACCCCCCATTTTTTTGGGGGTCAGTTGAGCGTGGCTTCCTTTTAAACTTCGGACTCTCCAAAATGGCACAGCAGTTTTCCTCTTGGTCTCCGTTTAAGACCAACCAATTAAAGAGAAGAAAAAGGGGGTACCGACCCCCAAAAAGAGAGACACGTTTGACAAAACAAAGACATGTTGAGTCCTTTGCAGTTGTGACTTGTGCTGCCGCATGTCCTCTCAGACTCTGCCCAGGTGCCGGAGCAGCACCGATTCGAAGCCAGCGAGGCAAGCGCCGAGACGCGTGCAGCCTGGGCCGCCTTTATGGCACTGGAGGTGGAAGATGCCAGGCAGGGCCGAGAAAGGACCTGGGTGTTGGTTGTGGAGTCGGCACCTTCCAATTCACATAGAGCCTGACGCTCGGGGGTTCCTGGAAGATCATTTTCGGTTTAAAGGGACCGGGTCTCTGTGAGGTTCCATTTTAATTCATAGGGAAACATTCTCATTCAGAGAGTCCAAATCCTAAAACCCGGCAGAATTCGTGAAGCCCGAGTGATGCAAGCCGCTCTAACGTTTGGGGAAGATCCCCCGGAATCCCGTCAGATGTATTAGTCGCAAGAGCGGTCGGTCAAACAACACTTTTTGTTCGACAGATTTGACCCTGTCTTTGTCGAGACAGTCTTTGGTCCGGATTGTTGCCGATGTTCAGGGAACCAACCCTTAGTTGGTGGTTTGGATTGGTTGATTGGGGATTTGAACGCCTAGAGAGCAACAACCCTTGGTATTGGAAGGCACGTGACTTTGGGCCTCTTGGTCCGAAGGCTGCAGCGCCGCTGCCGGCGCCGCCTCTGCGCGGACCTGGCGCTGGCGGAGCGGCGGCTGCTGCAGCGCCTGGCTCCCCCGCGGCCCGTGGAGCTACTGGGCGCCGTGGCAGAAGAGGCGGCAGGGGCCGAAAAGAGCCAAAAAGGGCACCGCATAGAATAGAGGTATACCATAGGAGTAACCCAAAAAGGGTGCCATAGGTAACCATAGGTGTCCTTTTTGGTCGGTTTGCTTTATAGGTGTATGGGATTGCCTTTCCCTTCAGTCTCGCTGCCGCCCAGTGTGCCCACACACCAGTGGGACGGATTCCGATGGCACGAGAGAGAGAGAGAGAGGCGTCCTTTTTGGTTGGTTTGCTTAAAGAAATAGATGGGGTTTATTCCATTTACCGGGGAGAATATATTTTTCCAAAAGGCCGCCCATGGTACCCTGCCTTCCACGAACCTTGGTGGCTCCCAGGCATCCGGTTCAACTCAGTTTTTTAGGATTTCCAAGGCTTGGTGGTAGTTTCCAGCCGGTTCAACTTAGCTTTTTAGTTGCTTTTAGTTGATTGGGTGGGTAGCCCAGTAACAGGGCACCTGACAGGGTTTCCAAAGAGGGAAATTGATCTTCCAGGTGCCCTGTCACAGTTGCTATGTTAGAGGGAGTACCTTCTTTGGGGTCGTTGTTATAGGAAAACCAAAAGGAAAGCCGAAAAGCACCCTTCTTGCGGGTCCCTTCAAAATATGTTCTAATTTGGAGAGCAACCGGGGGCCTTTTTTCTCGCTTTCTGCATGTCAGCCAACGGGAAGACTTGCTGGGGACCTGGGTTTCGGACAGACCGACTGTTTGGACACGCGCACCTGGTGATGTGCGACTTCCAGGTGGTAAAAGCAATGTGGGGGTGTCTTTTTTTGGGAGTTGGACCCCCCAAAAAGACAACCCCATATTGTGTCGGCTTTGGCCTCCCAAGCTGAAGGGCTAGTGCAGCTTGCAAAGGGGTCCAAATTGTCCAGGCGGTTGTGCTGGGATGGAACATGTCCATTGGTAAAAGCAGTTTCAGGAATAGTGTCAGTACTGCGGCAATGGGGCTTCGAAGCTTGTGCTAGACACGTAGTTCATATAGAAGACCAAAGCCACTGCACTGTCAGTGAGTTGCGAATATGGATGTGCACACATGTGCAGAAGAGGAGGTGCGCTGTTTTTCTTTGATCTGCCTGTAATATACGGGCATGAGGGCCCGGGAAGTGCAATGCGATTCTTGCATCAGTCAGAAGGACATGCAGGTCAGAGGATAGCAAGGGCGGGCATGGCATAGCCAGAAGGGGTAACCCCTGTGCCAAGACTCCACACTGGCGTGATGAAAGCTCGCTTGAAATGCAGCTCGATACAATTGCGAGTGGGTCTATTGGCCCATGATGCATTGGTGGAGCTTCGCAGCCCTAAGGCATGGTCAAGCTGCCAGATGGTCGCAGTTGCATGCTGCCAGTAGTTGACGGCGACTGCCTCAAGCGCCTGGGCTGCAGTCTCCGACATGGACAGCCTGATTTGGAACAACACCTGAAGCCGAACCTTGATGCTGATTACAATTGTATTTGTCAGCTGCGGGAACCCGAGCAACTTGACACCGGAATTTTCTACATGTTCAGGTCACATTTTTTTGGGTGTTATCCGATCGGTGCTTCCACAGATTCACTGGTAAGCACTGCATCAGTCCGTTCCAGAACGTTGACCGGCTGCTCACTTGTGCAGATTGCTTAGGTTCAGCAGCCGGCACTTTGACACACCGGAAGGAATGGAAGAATGGATCCAAGACTGCCACAAAAAGCACAAAGCAGAATGGTCAATGTACCGCCCGGAGGCGTGCTGTCCAATTGTCCCGCTTTGAGGCACGCGCACATGCAGACGCACACACGCACGCGCGCGCACGCACACACAAAGGCATGGCAAATGTTGTCCTCTCATCCATGTCTATCCTCTCATTCGTTCGCCTCCAGTGCTCGCTGAAGCAAAGCAGAAGTTCGCGTTCGTTTGCCAGGTTGAGGAACCAGCTTCGCGACAGCTGGAACGATTCTTTGCCTGTGCTGATGTTTGCCACGCTCGGGCAGTTGAGGACCGGCCATCAAGGTATCTCCAGGAAGTCTAATATCAGCCACATCTGGGGAGAGATGATGATAGAAATGCTTTTGCCGTGCTTTTTGCTTCGTTGAGCCGTGCCAAACTCGAGTGAGCCAATTTTGTGCCTGCCGCGTTCTCTTGCCGCACCTGAGCATTTCATGCAGGCAGCGGAGAAGGAGGAAGCTGTGAGGCTTTTCGAAGATTCAGGCCGTGGCTTGCGATGGTAAGGGGCAAAAGCATAGCCTGGGCCTGGCAAGCTTGCGAATGAATTCAGAGCTGGCCCGCAGATGACTTCGACCCGGATGCTTTGGAGGATGACATTGCACGGATGAACCCGGGGCAGCATGTGTTGACCACGTAGCCTCACGAGTTGATGCAACTTCCAAGCCACCCAAATACCGAGGATAAGCGCTACCCCTGAGCTCGAGGTGCAGGAGCGAGCGATTGATGGTCACAGCGCTTCGCAAGAGTCGCCGTGAGGCATTCCCCATTCGTACTTATCCTAAGGTAACACTTTAATGCGTTTTGCATTTCCTGTGCGCAGATGGGCGATTTCGCGGTAGTTAGATTCTCGGACTCCAATTTGGGATTCCCGATATGCCTTTTGCAGGCCAACATCATTTGCATGTTGTTTGTCGGCAGGGCATCTTTTGCCCTTGCCTGACGTGTCGACTCCACTTTGGGCCAGTGCAGCGTGCGTGGCTCGGGCAGAGCGTTTTTGCTGGTGAAACTGGCACCGCCAGACGCAAATCTTGCTGTTGTCGCGGCAGCTTTTTCAGCCGTGTTCTTTGCCACCCGCACAGCCAAACCGTTTCTCTCCCCAAGTCAGCATGTTTGATGCTCCGGCTGCAACCTCTTCCTGCATACCCCTGCCCCATCCCCATGACTGTGCAGTTGCATCATGCGGGCATAGAAAGCGGATGTTCGCAGGAGACTCTGGCCGAGAGGTTGCGTGGCTGCACATTTTGAGCACATGAGCGGCCAAATCCTGGCACGTTCCTGCAGTTGGACATCCCAGTTCCTGTCAATCTAGAAACGCTTTGGATGCGCTTTTTGTGGATTTCACCTCTTCTTCCCTCTTTTAGTATCCGACAGGGGTGGATCCACAAAAGCCACATCTAAATCGTTTGCTAGACCAATGCATGTTGTGGCCCCAGGTATTTCGCGAAGCAAAAGGCCTGACTCGAAGGTGGCAAAGCGCGCAGGGCGCCTCCACTTCCGGCAAAACGTCCGGATGGCTGACCGCGCGCCGCCTGCGACTGTACGGTTGTGAAATTCGTGTTGCGCTTGTTTTGGCGGGCTTTGGTTGACTATGAGCGTCTCTTTTTGGGGGGACCCCCCAAAAAAGAACCCAGACCCCATGTCCATTTGCGTGTTCCCAGCGTTCCTTTGGCCCGCACGCCCCATCGAAGCATTCGCCAGGTCATCCCCCGGCACTCACACCTCGACGTGGAGTTCGGCGCCACGGAGCCGACCTGCCTGGCACACGCGCCAGGAGCCTCGGGCCCGTTCTCTCCCACTAGCACGGCACCTGAGGGAGGGTACCTGGAAGGAACCTCTTGGAACCCCCCCATGTCAGGTGCCATGTTGGTGGGAGAGAGGGTAGTCTTTGGTTCCATTTGCCAAGCTGCCATTTTGGGTACAAGTTTAATTTTGAGCCGCAGCAACATGGATTTGCACAGCTTGCCACATGCAACTTGAGTTGACTTCGTGGTTCATTCCCAAAACCTGGAGGTCATTCCTTACTGAGATCGAGTCAATCCTGCGAGCTGTTCAATGTGCAAGGGCCCCTCAATCTGAGCCCTGTTTCTTGTAGATCTGTACAGACAAGCAAGCACAAAGAGACACTCTGGCGCTGAGCCATGAGGCTTTTGGACCTATTGGCCTGGTGCCAAGTCTTTGGAAGATCGCATTTCTCTCACACATTGAAATCCAATCACATTCTTGAGCATTTGGGCGGGGCCATGGTTTGAAAGACAGCTTTTGGATGCTTTTGCTTTGCCAATCATAAAAAAAAAGTTCACTCAAAGTGAAGTCACTAAGTGATGTCTCTCGAGACATCGGCGGCACTGCCCCACATGCCCCAAGCTTGACATGAATATCCAAATGACGTTTGAGCAGCACCCGTTCTTGTTTGAGCTTGAGCCTCTTTTGGTTCAATGATTACGACCTAACTGCTTGGCGCCTTTGGCTTTCACATTTCGCCCAGGCATACCTTTTCGAACTGAATGGTGGATTAGTGGTCAGGATTCACCAATGAGGTCCAAGATGCTTGAACTTGTTCTTTGATTTCTTTGTACCATTGGATCTCGATAGCCCACATGTCCACATGTAGGTCGATTTATTTGGCATGTATATGACATGTGACATGTGATGTGCAAAGTGGTCAACAGGCGGCAGCAAGAAAGCTGTCAGATCGCGGGCAGGTCACGAGCAAGCAACCTTGCAAAGCTTGTCTCAGCGTCGAAAATCCTACTGTGGATGGACGAAATCCTGCACCACCTAAGAATCCCTGGAATGATTCGATTCTCCTGTAAATATCAGCTGACAATGGTTTCACGTGCGAAGGGATTTCGCAACCATCCACAGTACGGCATGCCCAGGCCGGTGTTGATCTTCCGGACTTCGACATTGTGCTGAACCATGGCGACTTGCCGCTCCTGAGGAGTTGACACACCATGGCATGTATGCATGTATGCCAAGCTAAATTCGCATAGCTCGAGGAATTGCGTTTCGGCAACAGTTTTGCGGAAGGGGGGAACGGCCAGTTTGTCACGCAGGCACATTCGCTCTGCTCATTTGCCCTCTCGGGCCGGAACACTGCCCAAACAAGTACTGAACGTTTGTACATTCACAGTCCTTGTCACGTCTGAGTTGCTGCAGGAAGGAGCTGCAGAGGCCACCTTTCTATGGGCCGATGGACAAGGAGGCGAGGGCAAGGGCACGAGCTGGAGATGCCGCTGTGCGATGTCAGGCGAGAATCCCAGCCCCGCTCTTCAGCATCTGTGCCTCGGAGGACTTTTGGGACATCCTTTTCCCCAACGTCTGCTCCCAAGACTTGCTGCGGCCCCTTTTTTTTAAAGCTGGCTGCTGCTGGCAAAGGTGTGCCGGCCGGCCCTGGTGAACATGCCCAGCGCTTGACTAGTTGGTGCAAGGTGTTCTTGTGCTAGCTGGAGCTGCAGTTGCCGACACGACCCGCGAACAAGGGGGTTGTTGGCTCAACTGAGGTCCAGTATGTCTGCGATACCCTGGGAACAGAAGACTCCAATTGCCTTCTGGAGGGGCACAGACCGTGGAGCCGTGAACTGGGCAGCGTGCTTGGAAAGCGCGTGCAGAAGTGTCATTTTTCGAGCAGCATGGGTAGCAGAGCCCACCTCCTCCGTAAACTTTGCAAGCGCCAAGCTCGCCGCCGCAACAGCGGAGGATCGTTCGTTCGTTCGTTCGTTCCTCCTCCATTTGTCGGTCCGCCCGTCCATCATGATCATCATGTTTGTGTTGGCATGCAGTCGGCTCAGAGCTGCGCGGGCAGATGTTTCCGCCTTAGTTCTGTTGAGGCCATCGAGGTGCGCGACATGTACAAGGGCTCCCCCAGGCACCCGACTGTTTGCTCGGCCATTTCTTCGGCGCTGGTGAGGGCTGCTTTCGTTTGCGCATGCCCACTGTGAGTAAGCCGCCATTGCTACCAAGACGGAAAGCAGCGATTGCACCCACTCTCAGCAACGTCACCTTGGAGTTGAGAACATGTCAGTGCTGGGCATTGCCAGGAAGCGCTTCCTGGACCAATGGGAGGGGAGCAGCCACTTTGCGGGACACTTGGCATTGTCCCCCTACGGGGCCAGTCAGCTCGTGCCTCCATGAGGACGTGGCCTTCCTAGAGGATGACCTGCTCAATGCCACGGTGGTCCGGCTCCGCAGCTCAGACGAGAGAGAGCGAGCGCGCCGCAGTGTGAGGTCAACACCGATCCCAACTTTGTGCCGTTGGACAGGCGCGAGCGAGCCCGCGAGCCCGCGCCATGGGCATGGATGAGTTGCAAGTCTGGACGCAAGTCAGGTGGCCGCGGTGGAAGTATCTTCTGGACTTGCCAGGCCGTGATGGGAGTGAAGGCTTGTTGGCTCCTAGAATTCACTGGCACCTCGGGAGCAATGCGAGCTGACACTTCACCTGCCCAAGTGCTCAGCAGCGCAGTGCCAGCTTCCTGCACAGGCAATGGCTATTCGGGCTCCCTGAAGCAGAAGCTGACCGCCAGCTCAGCGGTGCTTTTTCTGAACAACGCCGCGCGGCAGCATGTCCTGTTGAAAACCAAGCCCCGGATTTCAAGCGGGGGATGCGAGGGCATGATTCAAATCTAGTTGCTTGCCTTGTGGCAAGCTCTACCCCCCAGAATTCGAGAAGCAGGGACAACGAATGCAAGCCTCGATTTAGTTGCTTGCCTTGTGAGCTCTGCGTGCAAGCTGACAGGTGAATGTGCCTGGTGCGAAACCTGTCTACGAGCACTACCATGCTGGCCTTCAGGAAATTTGGAAGTCTTTGTCGAAGAATGGTCGTCTCCTGCATCATTGAAGGCCGAATTAGTTGGTGGCTCAACCAGCGAATCATCCGGGTTCAACTTAGCTTTTCGGTTGCTTCTAGTCTAGTTGGTTGAGTGGTAGTTTCCATTTCACCTACAGGTAATTTTGTTAGCAGGGGATCTGAGGGCAGTCCGGATTAGAGCATTCAGCGCTAGCTAGGATGGAGTCCACATTCTCCTCCTCACCATGGACAATGCCGGTCAGAAGGTGCGAGGCAAATAGCGTGATCGCTGCTTGCCAAGAAAGAATTTGCCAGCTGATTCATCCTGAGAGGTCAGTTGGGCGCAGACACATGACCAGGAAATGCAGGACAGAAAACCTGTCACGACACAGGTGCTGCACAGTTTGAGTGTGTTGTTGTTTGTTGCTTTAACACCAACCAAAAAGGGTTTCCTTAAAAAGGACACACCCATTTTGTAACTTTGATGAAGCAATGTATTTGAGTGCAGCTGGCACTTGACATGAGCGCTTGTGCTAGATGAAACTCATTAATCTGAGCACAGGAGATGGTCCGGGCAGCGAACAGGCCAGAGCAGGGGCATGGTTGGTGGGATCCCCTCTCTGAGCCGTAACGTTCGAAGGTTAGAAACATATCGGTCAATTGACATGATGGCCTGGAACCATGGTTGAGTGTATCATTGCGATTCTGATAAAGCTGAGTGTGACCAGCTCGGGGATCTAGTAGGAATCAACGTGAGTCTGTCTCAAAACGAGGGAACCCTTAAAATGGTTGGTTCCCTTTTGGTTTCCCTCTAAAACCAAAACCAAGAGGGGGCCACCCCCCCCCCCCCAAAAAGAAGAAGAAAGAAAAACAAAACAAACAAAAGACGAGCGTTCCGCCGTGTAAACATGGTTCTTTTTAAGCTCAGGTACATGGAGGATTTCGAGAAGCTGACCCAATGCTACCTCTGGCTTCTCATCACCCGCTTTGCGTCACTGTTGAGGCCCGAGTTGACTCATGGGATTTCTTTTAGCGGGGGTCAATGGGAGGCTTTTGTTTTTCTTCCTTTTGGGGGACTCCCACAATGGGCGCAACGGTTTTCCACTGTTGGTTTTCTTTATCCAAAAAGGGTACCAACAGAAAAGGCACGCCATTTTTTCAGGGGCGGGCAGTTGCTTTATTTGGTTGCATTTGGCCTTTGCGCCTTGCCGGGCCCAGAAGGTCCAGGTATTAAGCATGCGAGAAGTGTGACAGTCATGGACCTGGCCAGCTTGTTGCACAGGTTGTACAATGTCGTATTACACCCGGGTCATTATTTTAAACATACCTTTAAGGGGGGGACTTTGACACTGGAACAACACAATGGGGCAAGTAAATTATCTTTTCGAAGAAACCATCTCTGGAAATTCTCCAACAAATTGCACAGCCCTCACACAGACCAGGGATTTGGGCGATTTCTTCCAGGATAATTTGCTGGAGATGTCTGCTTACAATTTGACAGTTAAATCAGTTGCCAAAATGTATCTCAAGTGCAACGCTGTTGGTGTTGCTCTCTTTCTTTTTTTTGCTTCCGCACAGTTGCGCACATCCAGCTACAGCAGGAGCTTTTAAAATATTCTTTGTGGACCGCTTGAGGCTTTTGCGTTTGCGTAAGAGAGTGTGAGGGATGGCGTTTGTCAAAGTGGCCCCGCGATGGGAATGGCCTAAATTTTGCCCATGACAGTTTGTTTGGCCGAAGGCGAGCATTTGTGGAGACAAGATTTGGTTAATAAAAAAAGAAGAAGCAACCATGCTGGTGCTCAGCAGGGAATGTGGGAATCAACCCAGCGGTCCCCTTTTTCAGGAAACCAGAAGGGCTGGTTTTATGGCTCATTTTATTTCTCATTCCATTTCTCTCGCACCAGCAAGCAAAGGAGTTCAGAGCCGCCTTTCAAGTAGCCTCCAGTGCTGTCACGGGATCCCCGCCAGGTACAGCCCCCATCCCGAGCAGACGCCTGCGTTTGGAAGAGCGCCGCTTACCCAATGCCGAGCTGTCATTCGGGTGTTTCTCCAAATTGGGGACCGGTTCCTGGTGGTTTCCTTTTGGTTCCCGAGGAAAGCCATCCAAACAGGGATCCCCTATTTTGAGAAGCCCCCACTCAGTCAGAGGCGGCACACAGCCATAGACCGGTCGCGCTTTGGCACGAAGGCTCTTGACTGGGCCACCGGCCAAGGTCGGTCCGCGTGATGAAGGTTCACCGACGACCGCTGAGGAGCCTTGTTTTGCGCACTTGCTGCCACCATGTTGAGGTCTCACTGCTCATGTTTGGCCACGAGATCTGACAGGGGTGCATCAGTGTGTTCGCACAGTTTTGCCAAACGTGAATGGATTAACTGAGTGAAGCCAAAAGCATATAGCCAAAATGGTAAGTTGAGAGCGTGTGCTGATTGCAGGCGAGAGTCGGCTGCATTTGAGAAAGGCTGCCGGAGGCTGTTTGACGAAAACGGCCATAAAAAAGAGTGCTGCCCAGAAATACTCACATGGGTGTCTTTTTTAGGATACCTGCGAAATGGTGGTTTACCTGTTGGTTTCTCTAAAAAAAACTCACAAAGCATGGGTTACCCCAACAAAAGGAGACACCCATGTGTGGGTTTCCAAGGTGTTTGCGTAAATTGTGAAGCCATGAGCCTCTATCTTCCACGCCCCTTTCATGGCCCTTGGGTGTGTCTATCTTTGAGGGCCCCCCTTTTTTTAGAGGAGAGCCGAAAGCTGCCGTTGTGGGCTTGGTTGCAACCAAAAAGACGAGCCACTTGGGCCCTTGGGCCTTGATCCATGGCATGGGCGCGGCGGCTTCCGGCGGCCCTGGCAGCGACGCAGGTGGCCCTCACGTGCGACAGGCGCCGCTCGCCATGCGGCTCCTTGATGGCTGCAGGGTTCACTTGTCTACCCCAAGGTAGACTTAAACCAGGTAACCAAGGGGTTCCCTCTTTGTGGGGGAAACAACCTGCCTTGTGGAAGTCAAAAAGTGGAACCCTGGCTTGCCGTGCTGGTCGGACCTTGGTCTTCAGGCACGTGAAGCAAGTGAGGCAGCCCAAGCGTTGTTCGAATGGCAACGTTGGAGTTTGGCTGCTCTGCTTCGGCAGGAGGATGCAGTAGCTATGGGCCGCCGTGTAAAAACAGCAGCACCAATAAAGGAGAACGGCCAACTGCTGCCCGATAGCTGACTCCACGCTGCAAGCTTGAGATCTTTGCGTTGTAAGCGGACTGGTCCCTTGAAAAACCTAACCCTTAGTGCACTGGTCAGGTGCGCTAGCGTTGGCTGCGAAGCCCAGAAGCCAAGGTGGTCATTTCCCTGCTCAGCTTTCAGCAGAGGAGGCCAAGGTTAAGGCTCATGTGCTGATGGGCGCCTAAGATGCACTGAGCTCTGGAAGCAGCATTGTAACTTCAACTTCAGATACAAATCCGGAGGACCCTACTAGTTAGAGGACCCAGGCTAATCCGAGGTTTACATTGTGAGACAAGGTGGTAAAAGCCGAACTTTGACGGATTCATGGACCGTTGCCGTGGCTAAATTCAGGTTTCGTGTTTATCTGGGGGCTTGCACACGCTGGTTCATTAGTCGAGACCATTGCCAACACCTGAAAAGGCAACTGAAAAGGATGGGGCTCATGTTCAAGGGCGCATTGCAAAGGCTGGGGCTCAAGTGTTGAGTCATTGATCTAGGGGTTGATTCTTCCCTGAAAGGTACCTCTAGCCGAAATTGGTTCACATTGGGTCTTATTAGGCTTGCAAGGCCTGGTTTGGGCAACCCCCCCTTCCCTCCCTCCCCTCCCTCCCTCCTCCCTCCCCCCCTCCCTCCCTCCCTCCCTCCCTCCCTCCCCCTCCCTCACGCCTCCCTGGCTCCCTCCCCTCCCCTCCTCCCTCCCTCCCTCCCTCCCCTCCCTCCCTCCCTCCCCTCCCTGCCTCCCTGCCTCCCTGCCTCCCTGCCTCCCTGCCTCCCTGCCTCCCTCCCTCCCTCCCCTCCTCCCTCCCTCCCTCCCTCCCTCCCTCCTCTCCCTCCCTCCTCCCTCCTCCCTCCCTCCCCTCCCCTCCCCTCCCTCCCTCTCCCCCTCCCTCCCCCTCCCCCCCTCCCTCCCTCCCCCCTCCCTCCTCCCTTCCCTCTCCCTCCCTCCCTCCCTCTCCCTCCCTCCCTCTCCCTCCCTCCCTCCCTCCCTCCCCTCCTCCCTCCCTCCCTCCCTCCCTCCCTCCCTCCCTCCCCAGGCGGAAGCGGCGGAGGCCGCTTGGCCGGCTGGAGCCGCGCGACCGCGACTGACCAGCGGGAGCTGCTGGCGCGCCTGCGGCCAGAGGCCTGGCGCGAGTACGCCAGCGTCCTCGAACAGGATGGTGGGATCCACTGGGATAGGAATCTCCCCCTTTTATATCGTTTTTTTTTTTTAAGAAAAGTGCACGCTCAGGGTGTCCCGTTCTATTTGTTTCGGGGGGTTAGTCTTTGGGAAGCCCTTTCTGTTGTATTCCTGAAGTGGTCATTTCCCACAACTCTGTAGTTGAAGGTTAGGGACAGGCCCAACCAGAAACAGGTGCCTTCGCCGCCTTGGGAACTCTTTACATGGTTTTGGGTTCACAATTTTGGTACCAGGGATTGGTTAAGGCTCATGTGGGTGGCCCGTCTTTTTGGAGGGGTGCCCAGGTTTCTTGCTGGTGCGATACGTAGGGAATGACCGAGCCCGGTGGGAATGAGCCGGATTGGTCAGATGTTTCTGCCACACCTGAACCACAGTTCAGTCTGTTGGCATTGAACTCGCAACTCGATTCACGGCATCCTTAAGCACCCAAGGCTTCAGCCGGATGCCATTGCCCTTGACATCTCGCCTCGGGTGCTTCCAGCAGAGCCCTCCATTTGCCACGGCAAAGAATGGCCTCTAGCGAGCCCCCAAAGGGTTTCTTCCCCAGAGGGGGACTCGGAGGCAGATTCGCTGCACCTTCAGCAGTTCGTGCGTAACACAGCTGAGCAGTCAGCAGCTAACAAGCCTGGTGATGCTGGGAGTGCATTTGCCACAGGAAACCCACGAGCCTTGGGCAAAGCAGGTTGTGTGTTTGAACGGTGCAAAAACAAATTCGTGCGCAGAGAGTTGACAGCACACCCTCGGGTCCGCACGCCTGGGATCGCTCGCGCGCGAGGTGCAGTGCACCTTTGGACCGGTGGCGCCGCGAGGAACGCCTCTTGGCAGTTTTTTCTTTCTTTTTTCCTTTTCTCCTCTTCCGGTAGCACGTGGGGTGTGGTATGTGGGGGGGGGGTGGCAGAGTTCTGCATCGAGGCAGATTCTGGTGACCGCCTTCCCCAGCGAGGAGGATTTACATGGCTGTGGCCCTGAATTGAAGGCGGAACTCTCTCCACTCAACGCCATAGAATGCTTTGCCTTGTGGGGTTTTGACAGGGGGTACCTTTAGGAGGAAGCTGATCCAGGTACCCTCCCACAGTTGCCGGGTTGCCTTCTGTTTCTGGGAGCAAGGGTGCCTTTTTTGCCAACGCCTAGCAGACCATTTTTCCTTTAAAAGGCCATCTTCCTTTTTAAACATGGGCCACTTCGCCGGTGAGCTCCACGTTGGACAGGAGGGTACCCCAACCCTGGGTGGAAACCAAAGGGAAACCAAACGGGACACCAAGCAGCGCGCTCATTTTGCGCTCGGTCCCCCCCCTAAAAAAACACGCGGTGATTGCCTCGCATGCAGGCGTTGGTGGTGCCCTTTGCTGGCTTGCCGGTGGCGACTCAAAAGATCCAAGGCTGAGCTTTTTATGTTTTTTTTTTTTTCCCCCCGATCCTTTTTGTTCGTTTCCGTTTACTTTGTCTTGGGTTAAGCAAGACCACTTTTTGCGTTGCCTTTGGCCCTTTTTTTTTTTTGGGGGGGGGGGTCCTGTTATAGACCATATTTTTCATTTTGTTTTCGTATCTTTCTGTTGTTGTGTCTTTTTGGTTTAATGCTTGTTTTCTGGGCTTCCTTCTTTTTTCCTCTCCGGCAACACGCCGTTTTTAACTTGCAGGGTGTCCTCCTGCCAAGGATCCTAAAGGATGGCGGCTGGGAAGGCGGCCTGCAAGTGCACAATGTGTTTCCTGGCAGGATCCATCGATTTGATTCGGCTGGCTGGCTTTTGGAGCAGCCAAGGGCTGGCCAGTTCGAGGCACGGGGACTTTGAGTCACCCGATTTGTTGGGATGATGGCAAGGTGCGTCTTTTTTGACATGGAACCCTTTTTGGAGTGGTGCTAAAGGGAAACCAAAAGCACGACCCATCATATTTTTGGGGTCTTAAAAGACAGACCCATATAAAGGCATGATCTTGACAATGCTGCACGCCTCTTTAAAGCATGCGAATCCCCTCTAAATGGAACACTCGGTGATGTGTGGTGCCAAGCCACTACCAGTCTGATGACTTGATTTGAAACTGAGGCATCACAACTCATCGACGACTGCAGACTCTTTGCTTGAGTGGCAGAACTGTCGTATGTTTTTTATTTTTCAACTCAGGAGCCCCCTGACAGCTGCCCAGATGCCCAGATTTCTTGTGTCGGATCGCAGATAGCTTGGCTCGGAATTCATGTGGGCGTCATGCAGCAATTGAGGTGACACGGAGCCAGCATGTGCATACACCCTCAGCATCTGAGCGCAACGTGAGGAGTCGCCTGGTCCACTCACTTGACGAGATTTGTTGAATTACATATTGTAGCCTCGCAAGCCAGCAATGGGGGCTGCAACGGCGACCTGCAGCAACTGCAGTTGCGACCAGGAGACCGGCGGCCTGAAGATTCTGCAGACTACCGCAGTTGTGTGCCCCACAGGTCAGGATGAGTCGTTGTCTGACGATGTCATACGCCAAACCATTGCCACCGCCAAGCTCGAGATCAAGTTTGGTCTCCCGGATGGCTCTTGCCGGAGCTTCAGCTTCACCAAGAAGCCTTTGGGCTTGGCTTTCAACAGGCAGCTCTTCTTGAAGCGTGTGAAGGAGGACAGCCAAGCAGCTGAGATGGGGGTGGAGGAAGGCTGGCAGATCCTTGCATTGAATGGCCACGACGTGGCGGCGGTTGGCTTCCAAGAGGCGTATGATGCAATCAAGGAGGCGTCCGAGCGATTGTGAGCTCGCTTGGTTTTGGGTGTGTCTTTTTTGGATTTGGTACCTCTTGTTCGGTGGGTTTTGATACAGGAATACTACAAGGAAGAACAACCGGTTTGGAAGGTTCCCCTAAAAAAGGACACACCCATTTGGAATGAATTGACAGTAATTCGCAATATGCTCCCTCTAAGAAGGGCACAGCATCTCCGACTGCAATGCGCAGGGCACGCGGTTGAAATTCTGAAACAGTGATCCGTACCGGTGTGTCTTTTGTTGATCCCCCTTTGGGGGAATGCTTTGAAAGGAAAGCCACAAAAAGAAAGCGTTGACGCCGCCCCCTCGGTCGTTTTTGACGAAAGACGAACCACGCCACCCCTCACTGCTGACGGCCGCCGTGGGCGTCGAAGTCGAGTGACGAGTGGGTCCTAAGGAGATGGCCATCGCCCTGGGCATGGCGGCGGCCAAGCAGCTGCTGCCTGCGGATCGCCTCTTGCGGAAGGCGGAAGCGAGGGGGTAGAGCGGACGGCGGGGGCGAGCGGTGGATGCGGGGCCGAAGCCCCGAACCGAAGCCGGGGGGCGGGGGGGGCGGGGGGGGCGGGGGGGGCGGGGAGTGGGCAACGATGAAGATGGGATGACCAGGACCACTGGGGGTTGATCAAAGGAGCGCCAAAAACACTCAAACAATACCCTCCCATTTTGAGGGTCACACATGGGGGTGGATCTCAAAAGGTACCCGCTGAGAACATGGGATGACCATTGGTTGGAAATCCGCCAAAAAGGGATACGACTTTTCGAAGGGGAGAGTTACCCATGGTCATTTGAGGGCATAACTCTTTCCCTTTATTTCGCAGGAACAGGGTTGTGGGATCAAGGGGTTTATCCCCACTTCTGCGATACGAGAGAATCTCCCCTTTTTCAGCGGTCATTCCCCACAGCCCAGGACCAAAACACAAAACGCTCCCTCAAAATGCCGCCAAAAGGCGCATGCCTCTGTCGTGCCTTTGGCAGTGGCGACGCTGGCAAGAAATGCCCATGGGAGGGTCTAATTGTTGACCAGGCAAAATGAGCCACAAACAAAACCCGGTAGGGTATTTAATACCGATCGGTTTTGATTACAACTCAAATTTGGCAATGCCTGCAAAAGGCATAGCCTGATTCAGGTAGCCTCCCAAAAACAAGCATAGAACCTGCCGCACTCATTCTTCAAAGCCATAGTCCAGGGTGATTGGAGCGCACGTGGGCTCCCTGCTGATGGAGATCCAGACCCCATGATGCAGATGAGCCTGGATGGGCAAACGGCCTTGGTGTTGCGTGGCAAGTGAATCCAACCTGTCGCTTGCTTTGTGGCCATGTGGCAACGGATCTTTGGCCTTTGACTTGTTGGTTGAAACAGTGGATTTTCCATTGGACCCACAAAAAGGTTGAACTGTTTGCAGAGGGGTCAACGTAACCACGCTTGGAAGGGCATAGCTAAACCATTTGTGAAAGTCATGCACCTAGGGTTTAGTGGGGGTTTCCATTTAACCCGCGAACAGTTAAGCTTTTAGCAGGGATCTGAGGACAGCCCATTTGCCACAATGCTTGCAACGCATCGGAACTGCTTGGTACCAAGGCTGGGCTATGGAGAGGTTGGCTGCAGGGTTGCCCGGGCTGCTTGGCAAGGCAATCAGCAGTCCAGTCTTGAGATGCATCCCAGGGCCGCCAAAGACTGGAGAATTTGCGGTGAGTTTCCACTGCCAGTCTGAAGACTCGGGTTTACACATAATTTCCCCATGGCCGGCAGTATCCTGCTTGCAGTCTGATTGCGGGTTTCGGATCCAGGTGCTGGCGGCCATGAACATGCGGGTGATCGCCACAAGGAAGACGGCGGCCTTGGACGACACGCTGCCTGAGCCAGGTGCCTTCGAAGTCGGAAAAACCAACCACACTTCAGGCGTTAGGCGCTGGCCGAAGTATTTAAGGCAGCCTGGGCCTCAAGATAGAGCCATTTTTTTAATGCTTTACTTTGAAGAGTTCCCACCTAAGACATTTGGTTGGCTAAACTAGGCCGCAACCATACAGCGCTGACCCCTGAACAATAGCAGGCTCTGTCGGCGGGCCGGCTGATTGTGGCGGCCAGACATCACATGAAAGCTAATAACCCCAAGCTGCCTTATTCAGCCGTCCGGTTGAAACGAAACGGGAGGTGCTGTTGCTGTGCGGCCACCTTCTCAGCTCCACAAGCTGCTTCCGCATGCTCAGAATCTTGGCAAGATGGCCTTTTTTTGCTATGCGCTTTGGTAGTTCCAGGCCGGGGCAATACCGTGCTTTCGCACGTTCGTTGCGCCAGGTGTTCTGCGGGGTGTTTGCGAAAGCCAATTGCTAGGTCCCCAAGTACTTTTACCCTTTTTTGGGGGAGGGTTCCCCTAAAATAGACTACAGCAAAAAAAAACAAAAAACGGGCACTCTTGTTCTAACCTCCAAAACTGGAGGACCTAGAATGGTTTGACGACGTGACGACTCAGGATGTTGTTTATTTGCTTGCCGGACACGCCGGAGACGGCGGGCCTCATCGGCGACAAGGAGCTTTCGCTGCTGCCGCCAGGGGCTGTCATCGTCAATGTGGGCCGCGCCTGGGCAGACATTTGGGGAAGGACACGCGCGATGAAACGCGGAAACGCGGGTGCAAAAACAAAAACCCGGGTTAATGTTTTGTGAGGCATGGGGAGTTTGTGTCCAACATGGGGCATCCTTGTGGAAGAATGGTTCATGTTTTGTGAAGCATCCCGGTGAAATGCAAGTTGGGAGTCATCAAAGGCGGCCACGTCATCGACGAAGAGGCCTTTTACAAGGCCCTGCAGACGGGCCATCTCCTAGGTGCTCCTTGGAACGCAACCTTACCCTTTCTGGGGTTGGCTTAAAGGGAAGCCAAAACACAACCAAGATGTGTGGGTGTGTGTGTGTGTGTTCGTGTGAGTTCGTGTGAGTTCGTGTGTGTTCGTGTGTGTTCGTGTGTGTTCGTGTGTGTTCGTGTGGGTTTGTGTGTGTTCGCGTGTGTTCGTGTGTGTGTGTGTGTGTGTGTTCGTGTGTGTTCGTGTGTGTGTTTGTGTGTGTGTGTGTGTGTGTTCGCGTGTGTGTTCGTGTGTGTTCCTGTGTGTGTTCGTGTGTGTGTGTGTTCGTGTGTGTGTGTGTGTGTGTGTGTGTGTGTGTGTTCGTGTGTGTGTGTGTGTGTGTTCGTGTGTGTGTGTGTGTGTGTGTGTGTGTTCGTGTGTGTGTTCGTGTGTGTGTTCGTGTGTGTGTGTGTGTTTGTGTGTGTGTTCGTGTGTGTGTGTGTGTTCGTGGGTGTGTTCGTGTGTGTGTGTGTGTGTGTGTTCGTGCGTGTGTGTGTGTGTGTGTGTGTGTGTGTTCGTGTGTGTGTGTGTGTGTGTGTGTGTGTGTGTGTGTGTGTGTGTGTGTGTTCGTGTGTGTGTTCGTGTGTGTGTGTGTGTGTGTGTGTGTGTGTGTTCGTGTGTGTGTGTGTGTGTGTGTGTGTGTGTGTGTGTGTGTGTGTGTGTGTGTGTGTGTGTGTGTGTTTGTGTGTGTGTGTGTGTGTTCGTGTGTGTGTGTGTGTGTTGTGTGTGTGTGTGTGTGTGTGTTCGTGTGTGTGTGTGTGTGTGTGTGTGTGTTCGTGTGTGTGTGTGTGTTCGTGTGTGTGTGTGTGTTGGTTGTTTTTTGTGTGTTGTGTGTGTTGTGTGTTGTGTGTTGTGTGTGTTGTGTGTTGTGTGTTGTGTGTTGTGTGTTGTGTGTTGTGTGTTGTGTGTTGTGTGTTGTGTGTTGTGTGTTGTGTGGTGTGTGGTGTGTGGTGTGTGGTGTGTGGTGTTTGGTGTGTGGTGTGTGGTGTGTGGTGTGTGGTGTGTGGTGTGTGGTGTTTGGTGTGTGGTGTGTGGTGTGTGGTGTGTGGTGTGTGGTGTGTGTGTGTGTGTGTTTGTGTGTGTGTGAGTGTGAGTGTGTGTGTGTGTGTGTGTGTTTGTGTGTGTGTGAGTGTGTGTCTGTGCGTTTGTGTGTGTTTGTGTGTGTGTGTCTGTGTGTCTGTGCGTCTGTGTGTGTTTGTGTGTGTGTCTGTGTGTGTCTGTGTGTGTGTGTGTTTTTTTGGCGGGGGGGGTCAAGCAAGTTATCAACCTCAACATCCCGCAAAGCTGAATGTGCACATGGGAACACAAAAACGTTGCACACCTTTCGGGCTATGCGTTCACATTGTGTGTCTTATGTCGCCCAGGCTGGCGTGGACTGCTGGTACAAGTACCCGTCTGATGTAAAGAGCCGGGCCAGTACTCCAGTGTCTGCACACTTCGACTTTGCAGGCAGGGGCAAGCACTGATGATCGTTGGTGGTGTTCTCCTCCAAGCTTTGTTGCTTTCTGGTCAGGCCATTCGCTCAAGCATTGCTTGCCGAACGCACCAGTAGAACCTAAAAGGTACTTACTACTTTGTCAGCCAGAAAGGATTCGGGCCAGCCAGGTTGCGACAATCTGGTCATGTCTCCCCATCGAGCGGGATCAGTTGGTCCGCGTCCAAGCATTCTAGCAGCCTCAGGTGGCCTGCAAGCTCCTGCATTGTTTGCAGCCATGGTGGGCTGCTTCCATCCTGGTAGGATTTGATATTGATGTGGGTGTGTCTTAAAGTATGGAGTCGCCCCCCAAACGGATCCAAATGGCGCAAGGGTTTTGCCTTCTGATTTCCCAACCACAACCGCCACAACCCCCCAAAAAAGCTCGGTACCAAAAAAAGGAACAACTCGGGGCACCAACTCCATTAACCCCCCTCCCCAGCTGGACCAAAGGTGCCACGGATGCCATGCACCGAGGCCTGGCCAGCACGGAGCAGCAGCGTATGGCCGCGCTGGCGGAGCTCTTCAACACCGCGGCGCTCCATGGCTTGGCGGCCATGAAGAACCGCGCCTCGGCGCGGGGGTTTGACGTGTCTTTCTTTCCATGGACGCCCCCAATTCATGGCTGTTGGTTTTACGCTACACTTTTGCAGGTTGTTCAAGTGACGGTTTTTCACGGTTGGTGTTCCCCCTTTTTCCTAGGTATAGTCCCCCGCAATTCATGGTTTTGAGTTTCCCACAGCCACCAAGCAAAAGGGTATCATCGAAAAAGACACAACCGAGGCCGTCGCACACTGCCCCCCTTTTTCTGAGGAAACATGCTTTTAGCCTACTAGGGCAATTGCATATTAACTCGCATGGGGGCGTAAAAGCCTTCAGCATTTGCCCTGCTTGGTAGGGAGTTGGGATTGGCTTCGTACCCCATCGGCTCTGCCATGGCAATGGCACCTAGACTCCAGCGGAAGTCATGTTCAAAACCAGGGTAGATGACGGATAGTAAGGGACAATCCTTGCCGTACCTGGGTGCGGATATCCGCCTTTTTGATTCTTCACATGGTTTTGGGAATTACGACCAATTTGATTCCGATCAATTGGTTTTGATTATGACTCACTTGTGTAGAAGCCTGATGCAGCCTGAGGTGTTGACCTTTCCAGGGGCTACTGATGTGGACGACTCGCGGCTCGAGCGCGCCTTGCGCGCACGGGCGGCCGGCAGACGTGCTCGGGCTACCTGTAGGTTAATGTATTTGGCATGGAAACCTTGCAGATGAACAAGTACAGCTGTTTAGAACTCCACTGCGAGGTTAGCTGTTCTTTGGCATGGTTAGCTGTTTAGAACTCCACTGAACGCCAATTCAGATCTGCGACGTTTGAGCCGACTGGACTTGACGCCTTCCGCCTTCTGAAAGCGAAGCGTGTTAGCCAAAGCCCCGCGCCCGGACGGTCCGCTCTCGCATGCGAAGGTGGACTCAAAAAGTATCAGAAGCACACACACACACACACACACACACATAGACACCGACAAGGTTAGCAGAGTTTGTTCCAAGGCGCCTTTAATTCTGGCGTATCTGCTGGTGGCGGAGGCCTTGCTGTGCTTTTCTGTTTTCATTCTGGCCCTTGGCCGCTCGCGATTCAGGCCAAGATCCCGATGGGTGATGAGGATGCCTACCAGTACTCTGGCATTGCCCACGTCCCAGCAAGTATTGACGTGAGCGCGAAAGTTAAGTTGGCACGTGGGCGAATGAATGAAAGTGCCAATTTTGAACAGCTGTAAAATCACTCACGAAAGGTAGCGACGCCAAGTATTGGCGCGTATCCAATCCGTAAGTCTTCGGGCCCAGGCACATCCCCGTTTGACTCCTCCCTCTGGTTTGCGGGGGGCTGCGCTGCGCACCGCTTTTGCCTCTCCTCGCCGTGATTTGCGTGGTCAACCGGGTGCAGGGTGCGAGAAACAAAGCGCAGATCATGAGCCTTTCTTGCGGACATGTGTGATTTTGCACCCTGAAGGGGGGGGGGGCATTTTTTTCCTCGTACCATTGGAGCTGTGCAGCTTTTACGTGTTGTGATTCAGGCTTGGCCCTGGCAGGCGTGCTTAGATATTCTGGGAGCCTGTGGCGTCACATATGTATACACACACACACACTTGTATATCTATCCAACTATCTATCTATCTATCTAATCAATCAATCAATCTATCTATCTATCTATCTATCTATCTATCGATCTATCTATCTATACATATATATATATATGTGTACACGCGTGTAAATAAATAAATAAATAAATAAATAAATAACTATATATATATATATATGCAAGCCGCTACAGTTGCTTGGATTCGAACCGTCCTTTTGTCTTCTCCAAGAATTCCGCTCGCGAGGGGCCTGCGTAGCCGGCCCGTTGGTACTTGCAGCCTCTTGCTCAGCCTTGCTACACGCAGAGGCCATGTCGCTGGTGGACGAGCTTGGCGAGGCCGTGTTGCTTTGCACCGACCGAATTCCTGGATCATGTGAGCCTGGAATGACCTGGGCTTGTTTTTGTTTTTTTCCTCGGCTTGGCTTCAAACTGGGTTAGTCAGGAAACCCTTTGTTGGTGGTTTGGGGATTTGACGCCCTAGCTTAGCTTTTGTAGAGGGTTAATGGGAATCCACCCCCGAACCAAGACACCACTCTAAACCACCAATTTGGGGTAAGCTGACACTTGGTTAGGGGTCGCACACTGCACTCTTGGGCTGGGGCCGGCGTGTTCCCTGGCAGTTGGTGAAGCCAATCCTTGCTGTGGGCCTCCCAGAAGAGTTTCAGACTGTGACATCTCAAGGATTTTGGAAGAAAGGATTCCTTGTGGTGCGGAGCTTAGGAGACATCAGTGTGGCCATACCGCGAGGCTGGAGCTTAGCAGCTTGCGAATCACTTGGCAATGCCAGCAGAGCTGACTAAACAAGCTGTGACGACGCATGAGAGGCCATTGCCCGGCTGCAAGCAACCGAGAGCGCGGCTTTGGAGGCGTTCTGTTTGCCCTACCGTCATTTTGCACAATGCGTGGCCTCAAACGAATTCACGGAGGCGCAAAGAACCTTCCCCGCGCTTCTGGGTGGCTCACGGGGCGCCGGATGCTTTGAGTTTTTCGGCCGGATTCTCTGGACCCATGGGCCCATGAGGCGATTAGCCTGGAATTCGTCATCGTGCACTGCAGAGAGCCTTTGCAGTGGGTGGAGGAGGATCTGTTGCCCATCTCACCAGCTGGCCAGGGCCTGAACTGCCGTTGGGCCTTGTGCCGGTGCCTCGTGTGAGCCCGGGTGTCAGGCTCGCTGCTGACTTTCTATGAGAAGTGTCGTGGCCTCAGTTGCCTCAAGCAGTTCGCTTGGAAGATGCCGCGATGTTGATGCTTCAATCCAGGCGGCGAGGAGCCGCAATTTTCCAGCATCCCTGCCTCGTTTCCGCTGTCTGCGGCTGATGCAAGCGATCAAGGCCCCCATAGTAAGATCGTGGCAGCCAGGTGCCGTCACGCGGCACTTCGGGAAAGTTTCAGTGCGGCCATGCGCTGGCCTTGGCTTCAAGTGCTTCGCTAGGGGTCCATGGGCCACTAGCTACCTTGTGGCTTTTGCTCCTTCGAGAAAAACAAAAAACTGGCCCCTTGGCGGAAGCCTTGCAACGCAAATAGGCCGCGATCCTGTGGATGGACCTCGAGGGGATGAGTGCCTCGGGTACTTGTGTGCTGCTCAGCATGCAGATCAGCTGGAGCTGTTGCTCTGTGTTTCCTCGTGGCTTGTCTCGACTCAGGGCACACATCGTCTCCAATTACTGGGACCTAGCGACCTTCACCGTCTTCTTGCAGGCGGACTGCTTTGCTGCTCCTCCGGTCCTAGCGCTTGCAGAGGGGTACGTCGAGTGCATGGCAAGGCCGACCCTCACGAGCACTTGTACTTCTCGTGACCCAGAGGGCTTGGCATGCAAGCTGCAAGCCCTGGATCGCGGACTGTGAGTGGCATCACGTGAGCCCGCTTGGGTTTAGCCCCTCCACCATGCAACAACTTGCTAGGGACCAATTTCGCGCCCACCTGCCTTTTGGACTGGCAGCTTTGGCAGCTTCCACCGCACAGGTTCTTGCACGTCGTCACCAAAATGATAGCATCTGCCACATACGTGGGCTCCCCAGTTGCAGTGTTGGCACGGTGACATGTCTCACTTACATTGCCTTTTGGGGAGTGAAGGGCTGTTGAGCAGGGGCATAACTCCGTACCCCTCCACCATGCAATGAAGCTTACCACTTGCAACTAGGCGCATTTGGCTCGAAAGCAATCGGTTCCATTTGCCCCGTGAGGCACGCACCGCAAGCATTGCACCCGCTTGCAATGACTTCGCCACATGGAATGGGAGGGTGCCCTGCGGCTGGCAGAGGGCAAAGGTATCGAGGTATCCTGCCGAAGTCTCAACCAGGTGCTGAAAGCATGCAAGAGGGACTGGCAACAGGCCGTCTCTCTATGCACCTGGGCAACAGAGAAGCTGCGGCCAGATGTGGCCAGCTGCAGCATTCTGGTCTCGAGCGGGGCTGTGTGGCGACAGGTGGTGGCATGGCTGACCAACTTCCGCAGTGATGGCGTGCTGTTGAATGTGGTGGTGTACAATGCGGCGTTGAGCGCTAGACATGGGCGCTGGTCTTTCTACAGCTGCTTGCTGCAAGAGCTTATGCACAGTGAATTGCAACCAGATGTGGTGACCAGCAATGCCGTCATTTCCACATGCGGCAGGGCTTCAGAGTGGCAGAAGGCACTGAGTGTTCTGGGCAAATGTCATTTGCTTTGCCTGGAAGCTACAGCTGTCTCTGCTGGGGCAGCTCTTGCAGCCTGTAAAAAGGGGGCTGTGTGGCAAGCCGCGCTTGCATTGCTGCGCTTGGGGTCCAGGGTGGGCCTCAATACCATGCTGGGCTGTGCAAGTGCCTGGCGGCTGGGCATGTGCCTTGCGGCCAACTTTTTCCAGTGGCATCTGCAGCCGAACCTGGTGTCCGTCAATACTTTGCTGGCGTCGGATGGGGATGGGGTCAGCTGGAGGGGCGCTTTGAAGCTGGCGGAGCAGCTTCAAGCCCAAATTTCTCGCCCCAACGACTTGATCACCTGCAACGCCGCTATTCACTTACGCTCGTCTGGTGGGTGGAAGCCCACGCTTCAACTCTTTGAGGAGGTTACCTGGACATCGTTGCACCCCAGCGCTGTAACATTCACGGAAGTGCTGTCTGCATGCGGCGCGCACGCACGGTGGCGACACGCCTCCGCACTGTTTGGCCAGATGATTTGGCGGCGGCTGGAGCCTAACACCATCACCCTCAATACGCTAACTAGCGCATGTGGGTCAGGAAGCTGGCGACAAGCTTTGCTTGCGCGCTCTGCTGAGACGGCGAATGTGGTGTCCTACGGTGCCGCCTTGAATGCTTTCGAGAAGAAGAGGAAATGGCGGCCAGCTCTGGCCTTGATTGCCTCCCTGAGATTGCAGAACCTCCAAGTGAACTGCATCACCTTGACTACCTTGGTCAGGGCCCTCGGCAGCTGCGGCCGATGGCAGCATGCAGCTTTCAGCTTGCAGCTTCCGATGGATCTTGACCCATCAACCTTGGCTGCTATGACCCATGCTTGTGAGGAGGCTACTGTATGGGTGCAAGCTTTGGAATGCTTGGGGGACGGCAGCCGCCTGAAGTTGCCGCTTCCGGCTTCAGTTGTGAATGCTGCGATCAGTGCCTGCGCACCTTCGACCTGGCAAAGGGCCCAGCAGCTGTTCGGGTCTTTGGCCAGCTTGCAGAGGACGGAAATCACATTCAACGCCGCCATCAGTGCGGCAGCGCAAGGTTTGCGTTGGCGCGATGCCTTACTCCTACTGGCAGGTATGGACACCCTGAGTATGGAAAGCAACGACATAAGCTTCAGCGCATCAATCAACGCATGCGAGAAAGCTGTAGGACGTTTCACCGAGTAGAATATGTTTTCCGTGACTGCCAACGTGGATGGCAAACAGCTGCTTAAGAAATGCGCATTTCGAAAGTAAGCGCTCGTTAAAAAAAGAGGAAAAAACAAAACACGCACTCTTCTCTGGGGTGCCTGTCGTCCGGTGGTTTGATTGCCAAGGCTGTACCCTTCTTGGCCTTGAATGGTGCAAGGCTGGCCTAAAGACCAGACAAGATGATGCCATCTCAACTGGAGGCACGTCCGCTCCTGGACTCCTTGCCTGAATGCGGTGCATGAGGCCCGGAGATGAGAGGAACAGCTGGGTCGTTCTTACCTGGACAGGCCATTTTCGGAGAGAAGATGCGCGATGCTGCCCCGGCCCAAACAAGCAAACAAGGATTCGGGAAACGCCAACGCGCAGTCAAAGTGCAGAGGACCACTGACCTCGACCCATCTTTGAGCCAACTGTTTCACAGAGTGCGGTATGGTAGACTGGCGGGCGATAGAAGCAGAGCAACGAATCCTTCCATTGCAGCCGCGCGTAAGGTCGGCCCGTACTGCTGCGCGCAATTTGTGGTGCAAGACGCGAAGGCCACGGATTTGCTTTGCCACATCCAATCCAGCCCACCATATGGGTTTGGGTCAAAATTGATTAAGCCAGCATGAGGGGTAGTCCACGTTTCATGTTAGCAGTTTTGCATTTTGGGGTTACCAGCTCTTTGATTTTAGTCCATGTTTTTTCCATTTCCCAGGGTTCCATAAAGAGGGTTTACCAGCTCATAGCCATCTTCAGCTGGTTGGAAGGATCCGCATGCTATGGCTCAGGTGCGAGCTCGGCCGCTGGAGTTCTATCAGCGGATGATCAGGACAGAGTGGGGGCTGGGTTTGAAAGCGAAGCCATAGATTGAATTCATAGGTGTCCTTTTTGGTGGGTTTGCCTGAAAAGTCGAGGGCCTTGGTTTGCCTGGTGGTTCAATCATCTACCAGGGCCATCCATCTCCGTAAAGGACACCTATGATTGAGTTGCGAAGCAATTTGGGCTATTCGCTGCTGCAGGCTTGTCGATGGCACCTCGCAGAATGACCTGTGTTTTCCAGGTCCAGTCGACCGCCATTTTCGGTCATTGACGTTCATGCGCAGATGGGGGGTCATCATTGCACCATTTCCTCGGATGTTTCCTGGCCTTGGTTGCCAGGCAAAGTGACACGATCCACTCACTGCTATGGCATGGAGTGTTGGGCTCAGTTGGGGCGGGGATTATTTTAGCTCGTGAATATTTACCGATATTCAGCCACTAGTTTATGCATGTGCGATATCCCGAACATTCTTCGGCACAAAGGGCCGACTCTCTTGCTTGCAGCAACAATGCGCATGCCCACCTGCGCATTTGCGCGCGAACGCCCATCAACGAACGCCGCACGCACATGCAGCATGTGACCACTGAATCATACTCACCCGCACGCCCACACCCAAGCCCACGCCCACGCGCCGACGTCTATCCCTACGCTCTCAGGACCCCCTCCCACCCGCATCCGCTTTGCTGCATCATCCTGTATTATTATTTTCCTTTCGCAGGCTCTTGCTGTTGGTTGGCAAGAGGCTTGTTGATATTGTCGCTTTTGTTCTGAACCCGCTGGCTACGTGCCTTGACTGGCTTAATGCGATGGTTGCACATTGTTGCTGTGCGCCTGCCCACCTGCCTGCCTGCCTGTCTGCCTGCCTGCATGCCGAGACTCATGACGTCAGCTTTGCCGCCATGGCTCTCGCATCCAGAATCCAAAGCGTTCGAAAAAACAAGTGCAGACTACATTTGACATGCCAGTGCAGCAAGGACCTTTGCCAGGGATGCCATTGCAGCGGTCGCCTCATCGCTTGTGTGGCTCTCGTTATCTTCCAGTCTTTGCCTCCGGCCTCTCTGCCCAGCCGCCATTTCCACCTCTCCACCTTCCAGCCACCTTGCTTCTTTACTTGTCCGCCTTTCACCCACCCATCCTCCAGGCGCAGGGGCCTGCCTCAGATGGACGAATAATGTGGACACAAAGCCTTCGCTTGCCTGTTTGCTCCATTTTTTGCTTGTTGGCATTTAGCTTTCTTGAAATCTGAGGTTCACCTGGCATCTGGTCTTTGGCGAGGATTACGAAACCCCGCTTCGCGCGGACCGTCAAGCTGGCTGTCATGCACACATCAGGCTGAGCTTGAAAACCATGCCCGACAATTGCCATGGCGCATTCTCCGACTCCGATCCCCTCAAAAAGTGTCAACTGATGTTTCAATGCTTTTCCTTGCAAGGCCGTGTCACGAGCACAGTCCTTCTTGCGGCTCTTTTGTTGGCCGCAGGATGACCAACGGCTACCGCTGCCACTCCGCCTGAAGTTTGGCAACGAGTTTATCCGCAGGCGCTGCAATTTTCAGCGTGCGGGGCACAATGTTGAAGCAGTGAGCAGAAGGGAGTTCCGATCTGAGTCACAATTTGAGAGGATGGAAGGCGCGTGCCATTCCCACGTTTCACTGCCATTTGTTTGTTGAATCGCCGCCGGTTCAGCTTCCATTCCAGCTTCGTCAGGCAGTGGAATGATGCCAGAGCCAAAGCTTGCGCTTGCGGCTTTATCGCTGCTAGTTCTAGGGAATCTGGAACTTTCAACATGTCAATGTCAACATCAGGGGTGGTGGTGCAGTTGCTGTGCAACGTCATTCGTCACCTGGGTGAGGGAATGCTGGTCCGATTGACGCCATGAGGTGGTTCTGAACCCTAGCACGCCCAAAAAGATCGTGGAGGAGGTCAATTATGATCAGATGACAGTTAGATGACACGCCCAGCCGTTGCGCTGACGGCCAAAGGTCAAAACGGCTCCTGCTATTGCTTGACTTGCCGCTCAGTTCCTGATGCTAACTCTTTGCAGACCAGCCAACGCCGTTTTGCAGACGAATTTCGGACCAAACATGGACACAGCGCAAGCAGGAGCCAGCAAGCTCAGCAAGCAAAGCTATCAGCCTTGACTTTGAGTGTTTACTTCCGTAGCGCGTTGAGTGAGTCAACGGGTGGTTTGGCTCAGAAGCTTGGCCAACACATCGGTGTTCGTCTTTTTTGTACCGCGCGTGGTTTACAGTTGGGACACAGTAGGTTTTGTTGTGGTGGACTATGTCTCGGAAGGCGCGCAGTTGCTGCATGGAGAGTGCGGCGCACAACTTTTCGGACGTATAGCCCGTTTTCTGCTGCTTTCATTGCGAGGCTGACCGCAGAGGTTGTTGTCCACTCGGCGCTGAGCTTTGCCGACAGGTGGTGGTAGCTTCCGGATATTTCGACCCCCTGCACTATGGCCACATCGAATACCTCCAAAGGTCGAAGGAGACGTGACATGACGCGTGGTATGATTCGCATGCCTAGCTGAACTCCAGGATTTAGGCGACAAGTTGATCGTCATTGTCAACAACGACCTGCAGGTTGGCAAGTGTTGGAGTCACCCAGGCCACCAGACAAAAGGCAGAAGCAACTTCAAGCGATGCGTCCAATAGTTCGGAGTCTTCGACTTGTTGCTTGTCTCGTGCCGGAGGCCACTCGCAAGAAGGGTCAGCCCTTCATGCCAGAGCCTGGTCGGGGAGTGAAGTGTAGGCTTTGCTGAGCTTTTCTGTGCGGCGCAGCACCTTTTTCTTTGAGGAGCTGTTTGGTGGATATTGTTCATCGCAACTCTCCAGAAACTATCTCGAATAAGATCCCTTGCCTGGTAGGCTGCCCCACCGCGTACCCCTCCGGATGGGTAGGTCAGGTCATGAGACGAGGCGCCGTGCGATTTAGGCCTGCCCGGGAGCGCGTCAAGCTTGTGCGCTCACTGGCTTGTGTGGATGCAGCCATTGAGTCCATCGACCAGGACGGGTGACGTGTTTGGCTGTCAAACGGGAAGGGGCTACAGGAGGAGAAGCCACGGCGACACGAAAATGAGAGCGGTGGTCCACGTTGTTTCTTCTTTCTTTCTTTTTTTGGGGGGGGATAGGGGACTCGCTCGTTGGTCACGATTTTTCCCGGGTCGCAAGGTCTATTACGAAACCAGCATATTTTGACCGCGGCTTATGTCATTGCGGGCAGGCATCATTTGCCAAGCTTTGCTGCAGGGTATGCGCAGGGCTGCAGCCGTACCATTGCATACAGTATCACTATTTAACGTGTCATTTTTGAGGGTGGTTTGATAGGAACATATAGGAGCACAACAAGGCACACCACACTGTCCCTTTGAGAAAGACAGACCCATTTTCCGCTTGCTTAAAATGTACTTGGAAGTACTGGCCATGACTCGAGCGCCGTCGCGTGAAGTTTCACCCCTTGAGCCTGCATCCCATTGAATCCCGCGCCTCGTGAATTGAGAAGTTTAACCGTCATGTAGCCGATGCAAGGCATGTTTCTGATTTCTCAACGCCAGCCAGTGTCGACCAGGACCAAACTGTGCGTCGGACTTTGAGGCTACTTCACCCAGACGCACAGCCGCATGCGATTTAGCCCCTTTTAGCTTTTATGGACACATCATGCCAGTGGTCGGCCGTGCCAATCACGCTCACACAACCGGCTTTGATGACTGCTCGCAGTTTTTGGTGCCTAAGGATATCTTTACAAATGGTGCTGTGCCCGGCTGTGCTTAGGGCACATTTTTCTTTCTCACCCTTCGTTGTCGAGCATGTGAGTCAACCAGGAAGAAGGAAGGCTACCGAAATCATGTCTGCGCAGTTCCCGATGGCTGAGGTGGGGACATCACGAACGACAGCGTCCCAGAGGTGCGGACAACCGCCACCGGTCGCACTTTGCGCGGGCCGAAGATCGCGTAGCGCGAGGCGGATGTCTGCAGAGAGTTGGGCATCAAGCTGGTAGATGGCTTGGGGGAGAAGGTTCAATCTTCGCCAGGGCCTTGAATGACCTTGCACCCACATGCATGATCATCAGCAACTTTTTACAATCTGGGTGATTGTTGTTTTGTCTTCTTTGTTTTTCTCTTTTTTTTGGTTTGTTTGTGCGTTTGTGCCCGTGTCACATGTTTGGGAGCATATGCTTTGCAGATCCTACCTCATCAACCGCATTGCCAAGCCAAGCTCAAGCAGCTTGGCGCGCGTTCTGTGGGTTTCATATGAGTCTGCGCTTCTACTACAGGGGCAGAAGGCCATTGGTTCAAGGCAGCTTGCGACGTGGTACCGGCTGAATCAGAGACAGCGGGAGCGGGGACCACTGTGGGTGTACAAAATCCTGGGCGGATTCAACTCTTCAGGTATTATCCATCCTAACTTGTGCAGGATGCCATGCATCCACTAAATGCCCAGAGAGAGAATCGATTGTTGAGCTGATTCTGCACTTGGTGAGCTCACCGCAGAACTGGAACTTCCTCTGCCCTCTCCATAGAACATGTGTTTCCACTTCCCTCTCACTACTGAGGTGAGAACTTGAATGGAAAGCTTGGACGTGAGGCCTAGGCTGCAACGCTGCGGCGTTTGGCTAGGGAAAGAGTTGCTTTTCTGGCAGTCCACTGTTGGCCAAGTGTTGGCTTTCTGACGCTACCTGGGCCTCACTACGCATACTTGGGTATGGGTCAAAATTAAACCACCAGGGGACCACAGGTTTTAGTCATTGTTTCCATTTACCAGGGTACCATTTTGGGTATCCATTTTTGACCCACAGCCACTTGTGTCTCACCAAAATTGCATGAAGGCATGGCGAAGGTGGTGCGGCACACCTCCCAAAGATCACGCCTAGCCCACCGCCCCGTTTCAGGGGTCCAGTGCGGAGAAAAAACATGTATGTGAGTTGTGGGTAGGTTTGGATTGGCACGTTTGCATGTAACTATGTGCAACCATGTTCCTTGCAACAAAGTTGCAAGGTTGTTGCTCAGCTTGCTTGAAGCTTTGGAATTGCTCACGTGAGCCTTGATTGAGCGGCAAGCTTGTCACGACGGGAAGCTTCTGGCCCAAACTTCAGCGATTGACCAAGCACCTCTCGCAATATGTCGGTCAGTGCCGAGGAGGTAGCTAAGCATAACAAGGACAGCGACTGCTGGGTCATTGTGGGGGACCAGGTTCTTGATGTCACTGCCTTCCTCAGCGTCTCGGCTGCAGCAAAACGGCACACCTGTAAAAACTGTTGGAATGCAAGCAGCAGCTTGCTTGGAAGCTTAGCAATCAGGGCAATAGTGTCTCCGCTTTTGCGCTTGATCAGCTGGGAGAATCCATAAGAAGCTAGAAAGCCTCCATGAGCATCTTTGATTTGCCATGAACTACGAGCACGCACGAGTATCAGTGGATATTATGGTTGCTGCCAGCTCTGGGCTTTAGCTATTTGAGCGGCTGAGGTGAGCACCCTGGTGGGAAGAAGTCCATTATGATGTTTGCGGGCAAGGATGCCACGGAGGAGTTTGACATGCTCCATGACCGCAAGGTCATCAAGAAGTATGGCCTTGATGAGGGCACGGTGTTGCTGAAGGGCACCATCAAGAAGTGAGCAGAGGGAGTGGTGAGCACTCGCTAAGATGTTTGGCTGTACATTGGCCGCAGCAGTTCGCGACAGTTTGTGCTGATGTGGAAGAAGAGCTTCTCAACACGGACAGTGTGCATGAGGGGATGTTGGTGGGCATTGGTGGGCGTCAGTGGGTGCTGGTAAGCCTACGTTTCTTGAAGGTTTGTGTTGCCGAGAGGTATACATGAAAGAACAATTCTAGGAAACAAATCCAATAAATCACAAACACAAGTGAAACCTTCGGCACAACCGTTTCTTGGAAGGACCACAGCGCAAGATATTTGTGGAGGATCTTTGCAGGAGCTCTGCGCAAGATCTCTCGGTAGGATCTCGTTTAGGATACCCTCTACAAGTGTTCTGTTCAAGATCTGTATGACCATCCTCTACAAGATCTTTGGTAAGACGATCTTTGCAGGTCCCACGCCAGACCTCAAGCTTCTTAAGATATTTGCGGAAGGATTTGTGCAGAATCTCTGCGCAAGAGGTGGGGTAGGATCTCTTGCCTGGACCTTGGATGCTGTGTGAGCAAGGGGGGACCCTCTACAAGCCTCTTGGAAGGAAACCTTTGCGGGTCCTGCGAAAGATGTCTTGGGAGGCTCTCCAGAAGGACCAGCGCAAGGCACCTTTGGTTTTACAGGATCTCTGCGCAAGATGTCTTGAAGATCTCTTGGTGAGATCTGTGCGCATGACCTCTTCAATGGGTCTCTTGTTAAGATGTCTTGGCAAGATTTGTGGGTCTGCGCGAGACCTCTTGAGAGGATCTTCTTTGCGAAGGCCCGGCGCCAAAAGGCTCTTTGCAGGATCTCTGCGCAAGATGTCTGAGTAGGGTTACTTAGATGGATTTGCGCACAGGATCCATGGGCGAACCACCTGTTTGCCATTTTTCTTTTCACGCTCTGTAGGCTGCATTCTCTACAAGATCACCGGTTGAAGGGACCCCTATGAAGGACCAGCGCGTATATTGTTTGGGGTTTTCCTTGGAAACTCTAGCGTCGCAATCAGCTCTCTGCGGACTTTAGGTGCCTTGAATCACTGTCGCTGCGCCGTTTGTGCATGGAAAGCCAACCCTCGGCGCACTTTGGGTGGGTCGGATCGCTCTCGCTGCAGCGCGGGGCAACTTACGCAAGATACTCTTGCGAGAGATCTTGTAGATCCTGACATGTCAGGGAACTTCGATACTTTAATTCGAGGATCCCCCTCAGGGATCCTGCGCACAAATCTTGCCAAGAGATCCTATCAAGAGTTTGCGCGGTCAGATAGCAAAAGCAGAGCTGCCTAGGGACAACCAAGCAGCAAATGAAATGCGGTGAACAGCTGTCTGACAGGCACTTTCTCAAACCATTGCATTCCTGCGGGTACAAGGCAGCAGGGGCAAAAGGGCAGGCCCCCCAAAATTATGATCGACGTCTGGCCTCTACAGGGCTAGAGCCCAGGCAGAAGCGTCAAGCGAGAGCTCGCGTCAGCTATTGTTAGAAAGTTACTGGAGGCTGCGCTCAAAAACTTGCCATTTTGCATGACGCTGACAAGCAGGTTGATTGAGGGTTTCGGGGAGGTCGCTTTTGCGCGCCAACCCTACGAATACTAAAGCAGCTAGCTCACTTCCAAGCAGTATGAGAAGCGACCGCTCGCCTACTTGGGCTAGATGGCCCCTCGCAAATGCTCAGAGCGTCAGCGTTTGTTTTCGTTTCGCCTAGCCGAAACGGCACCAACGTCCAGGGCCTTGTTGCAAGTGACCGGCCTTTAGCAAAAATAAAAGAAAGAGGCAGAGCCGCAAAAGCCAAAAAGTGATCAGCTTTGAACGAAAATCCAAAAGCAGCCTCGCGAAACCACCCGAACGATCATTTTTGTTTTTTTAAAGTGCCCAGGCGAGCAAAAAACACTCTCTGAAACCCTGCGGAGCCCCAAGCCCTAGGTTTCTAATCGGTTTGGCCGAACCTAGTATTGGTGGTGGGTCATCATGCGGAGGCTGGAAGTAGTGGAGGCGAGGCAGCGACATTTTCACGGGACAAGTTTCCGGGCAGCTTGTAGGCAGGCAAGCGTTTTTTGGGTCATGCCGTGAGAGTAGAGTGCAAATCGTGCTGTCTGTGGCCCATTTGGCTGACAGCGCGGCGAAGCGTGCATTCTTTGGCCAGCATGGAAGTGTCCAGAAGCGGGCTATGTCGCCATCAAAAGTATTACTATTGCCGAAAGGAAGTTCGCCTCTGCCTTCGACAGTGTTTGCCAACTGGACAGCAATGGCGCACTTGACGCCCGTGCCTTGAAGATGTCCCGCACCGCAACCTGGTAGTGGTGCCACTACACTGCATGCAAACAGCCTTGCCGTGCAGCGCCAACACAAGAAGAATCCAGGACGAGAAGGCAAACTTGAAGGGTCTGTTTTCAAGCTTGCATGCGGCCCGCTGAGGCGTTTAGCTTCACTGTGGGCGGCGCTGCAGGCAGATCTTTTGCACATAGGATACACCACTCAGGAAAGCTGCATTCAGGTAGCAGTCCATGAAACACTGTAAGCAGGTGTTTGTGGCCGCGGCCGATGCGGCAACTTCGAAGAGCGCCAAATGTGGCAGAGCTCAGACTGCGGGGCGCAAGGTGCGCAGGTGAACGCACTTTGACTAAGAAAGGCAAATGCGCACAGCCCGCCTTTGCGGCCTCGGGCCCGCTGGATGTTGCAATGCGCGCAAACGTGCCTGTGATGGTGGCCACCCTTTTGTTTGAGGCCATGCGCCGAAGGTAGACACCAAGTGTCATTCTGAGGCAGGCTTGCGCTTAATGGAATTAAGCGATTCTTTGTAGGCATTGGAGCTTTAATGCTTTCTGCCGCAAGTGGAATTTGTGTTGATTGCGTCAGCTCAATGCATGGTAGCACTTGAATTCTGTGGCCAGGTCATGTACGTCGAAGCCTGAGACAGCCTGTGAGAGCACTCTAGTTGCAGAAGGCCCTGCTCAAAATTAGCGACACATTCCAGGTGGCTTCTTTTGGTTTCCCAAGCCCGTCCAAAAGCAGAGAAAAGAGTGGCATTGCAGTCCTTACTACTAACAAGTGTCTTGCAAGGCAATGCTGGATGGTTTCGCAAAGCATCCTGAGCACTACATTGGTCTCACCACCAAGCCCGAGCCTTATGATTTGGAGCATCGGCGCTCAGTTGTGCTTTAGCATGCCCCGTCTTGCTCCAGCGGCTGGCCGTCAGCGGTTCGCTAAGCGAGGGGGCCGCTTAGGTCAAACTACCGAGACTTCCAGGCAGGAAGCGAACGAGACACGTGTCTTTGCTTGAGGTGTGTGAGTTCAGAGGAAGGCCAACCGCAAAACCACGATTTTCTGGGGGACCCCAAAAAAGACAAGCCCGTATTTTGCGATAGGCTTGAGTCTCCCTGCCCGCGGCTTTGCAAGAGGGAGAAAAAGCTTGCCGTCCTACTACGCAGGGCTCAAGGGCACGATGGGGGCGGTTTTGCCAATTTGCTTCCGCCTGGCCATTGGTATTGAGGAGGTGGCCTTGCACAATACGGAGGATGACTGCTGGATAATCGTGGGTGATCTGGTTATGGACTGGGGTCAAGTTTTGCAAGGCTGTGCTGCCACTTTATGACATTTCATCGCAGTGATTGAGGGCTGGAGGGACGTGTAGTTGCGAGCTCTGAAAAGGTTGGGTTTGTCCTGAAAGAGATCATTTTCGAACTGCAATCGACTGATATCGAATGCGCGGCCGGATTTGTCCCCTTTTTTTTCTCTCCCCCTGGGCTAAGATCACCGCGCCAGGACTTCACCGAGTTCCTGCTGCAGCATCCTGGGGGGAAGCATGCCATCACGAGATTCGCCGGCACCGATGCCACCGAGATCTTCGATTTGGTGCACCATCGCCGCATCCTGAAGCAGCTCAGCAGATGGGCGTGTCGTGGGTTTTGGAGTCGGCGCTGGCCCCCCGGTAAAAAATGGTTGGTTTTAAAGGAAACCAAAAGGAAAGCCGAATCCAGTTTGAGGTAGTCCCCCCAAAAAAGACACACCCAGATGTCAACCGCCGTTTTTCCCCCCCCCCCCCCCCGACAGGAAGGGGTTGTTACCTGGAAAGCCGTATGGCAGTTTTTTTTTGGACGGAACCCGTATTTGGATCATTTTTCCCGTATGGCCATTTTTTGCTGGCCGGTGGCCGTATTTGGCCGTATGCAACCCGTATTTTTTCAACAAATTGTTGACAAAAAGCCGCAAATAACCGTATGGTCATTTTTTTGTGGCCCAAGCCGTATGGACAGAAAAAAAACGTCACATATGGGTTTCCAGGTAGATGTTTATGTTGGAATCCGCGTTTGCGATGCTTCTACACCACGCCCCCACCCAGTATCCCGCCAGAGCAGCTCTCCAGTGGATCCCGCCAAGTATCCCGCCAGAGCAGCTCGTCTGTGGATCCCGCCGAGTATCCCGCCAGAGCTGCTCGCCAGTGGATCCCGCCCAGTATCCCGCCAGAGCTCGCCAGTGGATCCCGCCGAGTATCCCACCAGAGCGGCTCGCCAGTGGATCCCGCCGTGTATCCCGCCAAGCGGCTCGCCAGAAGGATCCCGCCGAGTATCCCGCCAGAGCGGCTCGCCAGTGGATCCCGTCGAGTATTCCGCCAGAGCGGCTCGCCAGTGGATCCCGCCGAGTATCCCACCAGAGCAGCCCTGAGTATCCCAGAGTAGCTCGCCAGGATCCCGCCGAGTCCGCCAGAGTAGCTCGCCAGTGGATCCCGCCGAGTATCCCACCAGAGCAGCCCAGCAGTGGCACCCGCCGAGTATCCCGCTGAGCATCCCGCACAGTAGCTCGCCAGTAAATCCCGCCGAGTATCTCCCGCTGAGTATCCCAGAGTAGCTCGCCAGGACAGTCCCGCCGAGTATCCCGCTGAGTATCCCGCACAGTAGCTCGCCAGTGGATCCCGCCGAGTATCCCGCTGAGTATCCCTTGCCGGTGGATCCTCCCGAGTATCCGCCCAGTATCGAGCCGGAGTCTCGCCATTATTCGCCAGTGGATCCCGCCAGTGTCCCGCCAGAGGAGCTCGCCAGTCTGGTTTTGCTTCGCCCGGCGCACAGTGGGGCTGCCTTCGTGTTTTGAGAGAACCCTGAGGCTCGGAAAGGGAAGCTTTTGTGTTGCTTTGGGCTGTGAACAAGCAACTTCGTTTAATCCCCCCTCGGGTTTCTTTTTGGAAGGGGCTTGGCTTTTGTTAACGGAACCGATGTTTGAGTTCTCGAGATCAGCTCGCAGACAAGTGGAGTTTGACGGTCTTAGGCTCGTGAGTGTGGAGGGTGGGGATTGCTCGAAGCGAAGTTTGTTTTTTCTTTTCAGGTTGTTTTCTTTGTTGCTGACTCATGGGGTCAACCAGGAAGTACGGGCAAGGAGGAGGCATCACACTGAAAGGCACCATCAAGCGGTGAAAGCAGAGGACATACCTCGAGCGAGCTTTTCACAAGTGGCCAGAGCCTAATCTCTGCACGTTCACGCCTGCTGGGTGTGGCTCAAAGTTAAACAGGAGGGGCAAACCGCAGGTTTTGGTCCATGTTTCCACTTACCATAATTCCATTTTGGTACCGGTTTTTTGAGCCGCAGCCTGCTTAAACTTAAATCTCCGCTCGAATTCACAGTTGCGAGTTGGCGCGCAACTGCTTTTTAAAGCCCGTGGTAGCTCGGAGCTCCAGACCGCAAGAGAGACTGGAGCTGGCAATTGGTTTGGACCACATGATTTTTGCGACCAGCTGCCATCTCAGACTCGCGGGCTTGGGTGCACTGCACGGCCAACTGCACCACAGCCTGAGTTTCTGGGAGTGGACTCAATACAGTTTTGGGATGCAGGCGGAGAAAAGGGGATGTGTGCTGTCAGGGTTCCACTTTTTGACTACCCCAAGATAGACTTAAACCAAGAGGTTTCCATTTGGGGAGAATCAACCACCCTGGGTTTAAGTCTACCTTGGGGTAGTCAAAAAGTGGAACCCTGCGTGTGCTGCTGCATTCTCGTTAGGCACAGTGACAGGACCGCCTTTGGGCCGGAGTTGGGCGAAGCACGTATTGAATTACTGAGCTATTTAAACCGTTCAAACATCAACAGCGTGGTGAAGCGTGTTTGTACACCTACCTTCAACATTGTCCCACTACCCTAGACCAACTCTACCGCAAGCCCGAAGCCGAACCCAAACCAAGACCAGCGGAACGCCCAACCTCAAACCAGCAATTGATGATCGTTGTTCCTATCGGATGTCCACGCCTGACATGAATCGGATTTGACGTGTCCAGTCCAATGCCGCTGTTGCTGGTTCAGAGATGAATCTGAGCTACTAATCTTCGTGCCTTTGCCCGCCGCCCGCAATGTCGGTCAGTGCCGAGGAGGTAGCTAAGCATAACAAGGACAGCGACTGCTGGGTCATTGTGGGGGACCAGGTTCTTGATGTCACTGCCTTCCTCAGCATCCTGGCTGCAGAAAGACGGCACACCTGTAAAAACTGTTGGAATGCAAGCAGCAGCTTACTTGGAAGCTTCGCAATCGGGGAACTAATTTCCTCCCCTTTGAGTTTTGAACAGCTGGGAGAATCCATGAGCAGCTACAAAACCTCCATGAGACGGATATTATTTGGTTGCTGCCATTGGCTTTAGCTATTTGAGCGGCTGAGGTGAGCACCCTGGTGGGAAGAAGTCCATTATGATGTTTGCGGGCAAGGATGCCACGGAGGAGTTTGACATGCTCCATGACCGCAAGGTCATCAAGAAGTATGGCCTTGATGAGGGCACGGTGTTGCTGAAGGGCACCATCAAGAAGTGAGCAGGGTGAGTGGTGAGCACTTGATACGCTGTTTGGCTGTACATTGGCCGGAGCACTTCGCGACAGTTCGTGCTGTTGTGGAAGAAGAGCTTCTGAACACGGACAGTGTGCATGAGTGGATATCGGTGGGCAATGGTGGGCGTCGGTGGGTGTTGGTAAGCTTCCGCTTTGAAGCTTGGTTGTGTTTTCTTTAAATTGCCAACTTGTCCAGAGGCACAAGTTTTGGTCGGAAATAAATGGCGATTCCTGGTTGAGCTGGTTGTTTCATAGCCTGCCAGGGAAATCCATTTGTTTTCAACCAAAGGGAGACTTATGATTGTGGGATTGGGTTTGGGTGCATTTCGATGGACCTGGGCAGGCTTACTTTTGGAACCTTGGCATGTCTCAGCCTCAGCTAAAACTGCCGACGCCGTTTGTCCAACAACTGGCAACGCGTGAGGAACAGGCAGCCTCTGGGCTAATGTATTGTAAATTACGCATTGCGGTTGCAAGATTGCTGGAATCAATTGCCTTCCTCCCCATTGGTCTCATTTGGAGGTTTCCTGTCCCTCACTCATACCTCATCCTGTTCGTTGGCCGGCCGCCATAGGGCAGTCGCCGAGGTTCATTGAGGCCCCTGCTTTTAGGCATGGGTATTGGAAACCTAAGGCACGACTGCCCTCGACCCTGCATGGCACAGGAGGAGGCACGGCATGCTAGGCGATCACAGGGGCTGATTAGCAAAAGCGTCCTGCTTTTGCTAGGCATGCGTCAAGTTTGATGAAAAATACCCGCAAGAAGCCCAGCACCACTGTCCGTGCTGCAGATTGATGCCATAGGCTTGCGCATGTGGCGACGAATCCGTGACGATCTTTGCTTTTTCCCGCATGGCTTGTGATTTACTTTTCTCCTTGCTGCAGGTAACTCACTTGATGACAGTCCCTGGAACAGCAAGACAGAGGCAGACCAGCGCAACCACAACAAGTTTTTTTTTTTTTTCCCGCAGCATGCAGATCGCTGCCATCAAGCAGATCTGCAAAGTGAGTCAGGAAACAAGTAAGAAAATTATTTGTCTCTTTTCCATTTCCCAGGGCTTGCTTGCAACTCATTTTGGGGGTGACCCGATCCCACGGCCATCTGAAGCCGAGCCATGGACTTGGGCCGGGCGCAGCCGATCCTCGCCAGAGAGGCGGAGCCAAACGCAGGCAGAGGCTCTGGGCGAGCGACTTCGCAGGGAAGTTTCGTGGAAGGTTCGAGGGGGAGGGCGACGTCAGGCGCAAATTCGAGTGAACTCGATTGAGCTTAGAGGGAGACTTGCAAAGTTGGACTTGTAATGCCCTGGCGGATCTCGAAGTTATTTCAGCAACGGCTGGCTTGAAGTGCAGAGCACGCCTCAGAAGGTGGAAGTTGGCCACTTGCCAAACGCGAGATTCCAATTTCAGCCTTCCGATCGATGGCACGAGGGAGAGAGAGGGAGAGAACTCAGCCCTTAATTCCTTTGCCTTTCCCTACGCCTGGCACGCAGGTCTCAGATTCCGACCCCAACCGCATGTGCTTTCTGGCCAACGCGATTTCAGATGGGCTTTTGCAGGCGGGGCGGGCGGGAGCCTGGATTGTGCCATTTGTCCAGGCGGAAGTGGCCTGAAATGGGTGTGGCTCAAATTAAAGAGCTAGGGTTACACAGGTTTAGTCTTCGGTTCCATTTGCCTTGGTGATTCCCAGCCATCCCCGCAGCTTTTTGGCTTTTTACTTGTTAGTGGGGATTTTAACATTTCAATTTAACCCACTAATTGTTTAGACTCTTAGCGGGATACTTGAAAACGGACAGCCCAGTTGCCAAGGTGCCATTGTGGGGATTCCACTTTTTGAGCCACAGCAAATGCAGGCTGTGCTGGAACGTACGTGGCGGCTTGCCGGTGCCGTCGGCCATGTGCAAGACCTCGGGTCATGGTCTTAGAGGTCTTTCACGTGCCAACTTAGTATTACAAGCCTGCGGAATGTTTGGAAAGCGTGTCAGAAAGATCCACATGCTTCAGGGTCTGAAGTTTCAGATCCTAGCAAAAATGATTCTCCCTAGAAAGCTTTTCTTCACTGTTCTTGGCAAGTTGTTTCTTTTTGGTTCTGCTCATTTTTAGTAGGGGTCTGCAAAACGTCAGGCAGTTTTTGCAAGCCCATACCAAGGGTTGTGACTCTTTTGTCCTCCTCGCTGGGGCGAGGTCGCACGCAACGCCATGGTGAAAATGAAAGAGGCAACTGTGCGAAGAGCTGGCGAGGAGATTCGGCAGACAAGTTCCGATTTGCAGCAACTTTGTCTGAAGCTGACGCCTGGAGTAGGCAGCAGAATCCTGGCTTGAAGGTTCAATGAAAAAGCCTAGGACGTTTTTTGGTTGAGCAACGAGAGGTGCCATGCTTGTTACTTGAGCAGCGCCCAAAACCTCCATATGTAGTTCTACTACCTGGCTTCCTAGAAATCAACGTCTCTGTATAAACCTTCACACCCATCTTGCTGGTGCGATAGGTGGGGAATGAGAAATGGAATGGACCTGGGAATTTAAAGGAAACCAGTTGGATGGTTTGTCTTCGGGTCACAGTGACACTCCATTTCTCATTCCCTGCATCTCTCGCACGGGTTTTAGGCGCTGGTTCTATCACCTGGCTTCAGAGAAATCAGTGTAAGTCTCCGTATCAAACTTCATACCCATTTAAAGCCCAAAGTCGATGGGTTTTGGGCGCTCACTTCGTGCAGGAGATTCTCTCCGAGGTGGACTTTCAGTTGCCGGGAGGGGCGCGCGCCGTCATCGTAGGGCCCAACGGTTGCGGCAAGACCACTTTGCTTACGACCATCGCCCAGCGCGAGAGTGTTGAAGGCCGGAAGGCCATGTGGGTTTGTGATATTTTTTGGTGGGACCGAACCTCTTTTGGTTGGCTGTAAAGGGAAGAAAAAGGAAAACCACCCTTTTGTGGGTTGCCCCGTTGCCCCTAAAAAAGGAGACATGTCTTTTGTGAGGTCCGGCAGGCCAGCATTTGCACAGACAGCTTCCTGAGCCTATGGTGGGTGTTTGCTGTGCTTAGGTGGGTTCTTGGATGTGAATGCATCGTCTATTGGCTGGCTTCGTCAAGAAGCCGTGAGCGGATCAACCAGGACCGTATTCGAGGAAGCTTCCTCCCAGATGCCTGTGCCCTGACAGAGTTTCTTTGCGCCTCCCGGAGCGCAAACTTGCAGCTCATGTTAGTTGAGGCGCCTTTCGGCCGCTCAACCTGGCAATGCCTTTTTCTAAGCCAGCCTGAAGTAGACCACCACGGACAAATCCAAAGGTGACAGCAGTCCCAAAGGAAGTACGGTTCATCAAAGGAATGCAGGTTCAGCTTGCGAATGAAGGGCTGCTTTGAAGGGATGTTTGGCAACGGTGAGGGGGCAAACCTCATTGTGAGGTGTTAGGTCAACAATTCACGGTGCAAGGGGCACGAGACTGAGGACTTGAGCTTCCAATTGGTGCAGAAATCATGCCGTTTCTTGTGCAGGTCACAATTCGCTTGTGGGAGCCGTTCAGGGGGCAGGCTTTGGAGTCAAGCCACTGGTCCCAGATACCAGGCTCGCCGGAGCACATGTCAGCCTCAAAACGTCTGAGGCGTTGGCGGCCAAAGAAGAAGTCGCGGCCGCGCAATCCGCTCTGGAAGCTGCTAGTGATGCTGATGCCGAGAAGAAGCTGCAGACCTACGAGAAGGTGGGCAGAACTGACATTGACCGTCAGTAATGGACGGTGTTCCATGGGATTCGATGTGCAATGACGTGTAGCCAGACAATTCAACAGTGCTCGCATGGCCGATGTTGGGTCAGGGAGTGGTGTACGGCACCCATGTCCTGCTGCATCGGTGCTTGCATGTAGCTTTGTCTGATGTGATGGCAGGCCTTGGCAGACTTTGAGGCCGCTGGCGGCGCTGAGTTCAAGCAAAAGGCTGAAGACGTGCTAAATGGCCTGGGCTTCACAAGTGCGGCGCCTCGGCCTTGACCAGCGGTTGGTTGGAAGGGAGTCGGAGGAAGGGAGCCGGTATCCAAATTTGCTTTTGAATAGGGTGGGAGCTGCCAGGAGGTCTGTGAGGTCCTCGTAGTTGGAAGATAGAACTGGCACGCGGCCGGATCCAGCCACAGGATCGGTGCTCCCTGCTTTGCACCGTAAGTGTCGTGGAAGTTACGGCCGCGTCTCGCAGAGATGATGGTTGGACCAGCGGCAAACATGAGCACGAATTGGTGTGCAAGAGATGTCTTGGAGTTTCGTGGGTCTCAAAAAAGCGAATGGTGCCCTATGTCTGAGGCCTGAGGCCAAGGTTTGCTGCAGTGATGCGAAACACGCCCAGGACTTTGAGAAGCCGTGCTCGGAGCTGTCAGGCGGCTGGCAGATGCGGGCCGGGGGCCTGAAGTCAAGTTCACCCTGTTGACCCCATGAACAGAATGAAAACCCCTCTTCAGTTTCATAACATGGGGGTGTCCAACTGGGTGACATGTGGGGATTCAGACCGCTTTTAGAGGGTTATCAATATGGGGTCAACGTGAGTGGCAACTGCCGCTGCTTGTTTGCAGCCACGGCATGTTTTGGATGGCTCACCGTACCCCGGGCCATGCGCGTCTTGATGTGAGGTGGCTTTGGCACGGGCCTTGCTTCAAGAGCCGCAGCTGTTGCTCCTGGACGAGCCGACGAACCACATGGATGCAGCAGCCAAGACATGGCTGGCCTCCCACCTGGCGTCAGGCGAGAGAAAAGAGGAAGGGATATTTGCATTTTTTTGCTTTTTTTTCCAATGCCCGGTTGCATGTCGCATGCAGCTCGAAGCTTCCAGGCCTTTCGCCCTCGAGCTGCTTGGCCCGCCAGATTTCCGAAGCTCAACAAGCCAACCACCGTGTAGCGATCGGTTTCGTACTTGGTGTGTCTTTTTTGGAGTCGGAACCTCCATTTTGTTGGTTGGGAACCCAAAAGGAACACCTTTGCGCCATTTGGGGGGGCGGGGGGGCAGAATCCTCACGTTGCGGCACGGTGACAGCAAACGCCAAGGCACGCTGCTTATGGTGACCCACGACCGGACCTTACTGGAGGAAATGCGTTGCTCGCAGGTCTTCGAAATCTCAGCGCCTGAGCCAAATGGGTTTGTCTTGATATGAGGTAACTTTTGCCTTTGTGGTTTTCAAAGAGAAAAATTGGGACACCCCAAATTTCGGGGCTCCCTGAGAAAAAGAGACACCCCACTGGGCCTGCCTTTTTTTTCTCAAAGGACTTGGGCTTTCGAAATGGGTGGTCTTCCTTTTGGTTTCCCTTGAAAACCAGAGAACAAAGGGTACCGACTCCACAAAAGACCCAGACTCCCCAGGGATATTTTAGTTGGTGGTTCAGCTACCTTGCTATGAGTTGGTTATTATAAGTCCCATAACTTGTCTCATTATTCATAAACCTAGCCATGTTGGTAGAGCCAGGAGACAATGGGTTTCTTGCGCTGCTCAAGCTGGAATGCAGGGGTTATGCATGAGGGAGTCCGTTCAAATGGTGCCTTGGGAGTTATTCGGTTGGGGCCAGTGCGGCCGCAATCAATGCCAAGGAGAAAAGGATTCTGCGCTACGATGTGCCCAGCATTGCAGAGCCTTGGTAATTCTAGCCAACAGCTTGCAGATGTTTCAACTTTCAATTGGTTTGGCATGCCATGGCTTTCCAAGGAGTGGGAGAACTGCCGAAAACAACGGCTGGCCGGGTTGCAGAACGAAATCGTGAAGATTGAGAAGCACATTGCCCAAGACCAGGACTACAT